TTACTCTGCAAAAGTTATAATGGAGGGAATGACTCTCCTTTGACATAAGATATCAAAATCACAACTTATAAAGTATAGTTTACTCTCATAATTCAAAGCAAACTAATATTTTAATTCAGTTCATCCTAGATTGGACAGATGAACACTAGGGGTTCCACCCCATGCAGACACTTACCAATTTGCGTTCACAATTACATATGTTTATTTTGCTTATGCAGATGGGTCGTATGGCTTAAAGTTATTCAATAAAGAAAGAAAGTATATTTAAAGAAAAAAATATTTCAACCCATTATCTCAAAATTGGTGAAAATACAAGGCTGGATTATAAATTTATTAATTATTTGAGGCTTCGCCGCCTCGGGAAATAGTTTCCTCCCTCGGGGAACCATAAATTTGCTATTTCCCTCATACCCATTCCATAACTGTATACTATTGAATGAAATTATTGCACTTGGAGGTAATTTGATGATCATGTTTGAAAAAAAGTATCATCATGATATCATAAGTCTTTTTTATGAACATAATTTGTAATGAGATTCAATAAGGTCTTATATATGGTTCTTTTTTGCCAGCAATACCTTTGAAAAGGCCATTAAAATCAGCTGATTGGCCCATGATTTTATTGAAAGCATTGGATATTAATTTGGGTTTCTCCATCTGTCTGTCAGTCTATCTGTTATACTTAAGAAATAAGGTATTGTTTTGAATTTTTTATCATAATGTAAAATATGGATCAAATCCCTTATGGTAGATTTGATCATATACCAACCCAAATTTTCATCATGATATAAATTTTAAAATGATACCTTATTACTTATTTTTACATGCTGGACCGATTTATAACAATTGTTTGCACACTTTAGTTTTAAATCCATGAAATGATTTATTTTTTCAAACTTCAATGGTATAAATTGAATGTGTGAACAAGTTGACTGCTTATGACATCACTGTAAAATTATGTCAATCCTTTATGACAATGAATTTATGGTCATAATTGACAAACCTATTTGTATACAGAATTAAGTACTGTAAACATATTACACATAAATAAGAACATTAAAAATGTGCTAATTCAAATCTGTGCTAAATTGTTCAAAAATCAATTTCCGCTAAATATCATACATGCTAAATATAATACTTTTACAGTACGTCTTCTTCAAATAGTATTATATAAAGGAAAACATTTGCAATTGTACATGTATATATACGTATATAACTATATATACATATATAATACCTGAATTTCTAAATGATATCCCTAAGAGCCTTCTTAAACCAGCTTTAATGTGAAATTTAAATAATTACCTATGACTTACAAAAGATTCTTTTTGATATTGAAGTCAAAGTAAGCTCAGAATTGTGTGTGTTTTAATTTGCAGGGTAAATGGTCAGCTTGGATTCCAGCAGAGGGTGAGAGTGCCACCATCAACGATTTGGGAGGAGGATCAAATTGAAGACAAAAGATGGTAAAACTTCAGTCTTGATATTCACTACACATGCTAAAGGAGTCACTTATATAAATGCAAATAACAATCTTCACCGAGACTCTAATTCGAATAAATGAAGTGCTTTGTGAAATTATTATTTTAATCTTTGAATTTAATCTTAAATTAGGTTATAAAGTAAGAAAAGGCTTCAAGCAGAAGAAATCTTAATTTATTGAACATCTTGTTGATTAGGAAAGCAAAATATACAACTTACAAAGTTAGAATATATTGAATGCATAATTTGTGATTAGCATTTCTTGTAGTTAATATCTTTTCTTTTTCTTTTCATGTGTGCAACCCTAGAAGCACTCAGAAATGGACCTATAACTTGTGCGTTAAGTCCAGTAGCAGGTTGGCAATGGTAGACAGACTTTTGCCTTAGGCCATTGCTCATTTGGTTAAGCTGGCAGTGCAGGAATTCATCTCAGGATCATGTGTTTTGTTGGGTGATGAGGAGTTCCTTTCATACCCTCAGATTATTGCCAATCTTTATCAGATTTCCTTATCCTGACATTTACAATCCAGAGAGAACTTAATTAGTTAATGTTTACATTTTAAAAGCATGTTTGAAGTACCGGTAATTTTTAGCATTCATATGTTTTAGCTCATCTGAACCAAAGGGTGAAGTGTCAGCTAGCCTTTCTGATTGAAATCTGTCCTTTGTTGTCAATGTATTATATCTTTTCACATATTTGAACTGTTTTCCAGAAACGTCAATTTTCAACCAAACTTGGCACAAGGCATCCTTGAGTAAAGGAAATTCAGTTTCTTCAATTAGAGGACTATACCTTCTTGGAAGCAGCGATAATCAAGAAAAAGCAAAAATTCGGGGAGAGGGGTGGTCTTAAGGCATGGCTGTCCTCATCGTATATTGAAAATGCATTAAATTTTTGAAAATCTTATTCTCTTTTCTGTAGGCATTTGCCAGGCAAATCAATTGAAAAGTTGTAATGATCAAGGGTGTTGTTACCACATATGTAAAATTCATAACCACAGGGTCAGGGTTTCTGCTGCCTTGGAAATGCACAATTGATTATGTAGGGTATTTTCACTCAACTTTGAGAGAAGTTAGTCCCCTTTGATTATTCAACAACGATAATGAAAAACTTGGGTGACCACTAAGGTCCTTTGGCTTTTTGTTTTTTGTCAAATTATGGATCCTTGGATAAGGTTGAGGCTAAAATAGTGTATGAAATGAAATAACATTTTTAAAACATTCTTTTCTACAATAAGGTCAATTTAGTTACATGTATATTGATAATGTACATATCCAGTATGTACAATGTAGTTTGATAATGAAGTCCTTCCATTTTGAGTGAATTTAAATTTAGTTTAATTATAATCCCTCGGGGCCAAGGTAGGGTCACCATATTGGGTAAAAATTTTTTTATGGGAATAAGGAGGAATTTTTTTTTTAAAAAGTTCTTCAGAAGAACAGGGCTAATATGACTTTGTGAGAGTTATGGCCCATGGGCGTCCTTTTTTCCCTTTTTATTTTGGTTTGTTATTTTAGCACTTTTGGTGCATGCATAAAGGTTCTTTATTGAAAAAAAAAAAGAAAAAATGTTTTTTAACTATTTTAAATGATGAAGCCCAGACAGCTAGTACTCTTGAAAGTTACCTTATAATGTAGTTTAACCTGCTTCATAAGATGTGAATTAAAAAAACAACATGTACTACATAAATTTACAAAATTATTTAATTATTAATTTATACAATTATTATCAATACATGTATGTACATAAATTTACAAAATCATTTAATTATTAATTTACATAATTATTATCAATATCTTTCAAAAGATTCTGATTCATTTTTTTTTTTTACCTCATCCAATATCTGAGAACATTTTTTACCCATTTTTCCTATTAAAGCAAATAAGAATGTAATATCTGGGTTAGTCAAATATTTATATCTCATGTGTTATGACATGCCCATGCCTGTACATAGATCATTCAAAAAACTTTGTTTAGTTAACATTTATTGTCTATAATTTGAAAATCTTATTGAATAAAATGATATAATAGGCAGACACTTTTATAAACAAATGCAGGATAAACTAAATACATGTGCATATTTGTATGAGTGTAAAGAATATCACTAGTACAATTGTCACCTTTATTTTAAGAATAAAACATTTTAAAGTTTGATTTCATATGTCTTTTTATTCAGCATGTACATGTATGTTGTCATAATAAAAATATTATGAAATTAAATTATGATTATTCTGAGTTATTTTTATATACTGCTTATACAAATGTTTGGCTCAATGTTTACTGTTTAATATTTGAACAATTCACATAAAGATTAAAATATGTGAAAGCCTGGGACTTCTTCTTGTAAATTTTTCAAACATGAGTTTTTATTATAATTCTGTAGTACACGTAATATAAAAGTTAATATTAAAATAGTGTTACACAGTTTTTATCTGTATTCTTGTAAATTTATTTACAGTACTTTTCATTTTTACAAAACAAACATGCATAAACACATGCAAACAAATACACCTACACATGGCAAAAATAAAATACATTTACCATGATGCTTGCAAAGTATAAATTTGTTTGTTCAAAATGAAAAGATGACAACCTACAATATTTATTTGAGAGGTACTAAATAAAATGTATTTGCAAATTCAGATTGTTTAGAGGACGACCATATATTTGAAAGGGGGGGGGGGGGCTGCTAGTTTTTTGAAACATATGGTTACCGTAATGTTGGAAATAGATAATTTTTCCCCAGCTGGCAAGAATTTTTTTTCATTGCCTGCTGGTAACACCCCCCCCCCCCCCGACAACCACCACTACCAAACTACACCCCCCCCCCCCCCACACACACACAAAAGAGAGTTGTGGAGTAAGTCTGTTTTTTTTTAATTATCTATCTAATATTTATTTCATATATATAATTATTTTTTTTATTGCCTGTTGGTACCCCTCCCCCAAATAGAGTTGTGGAGTAAGGCTGTTTTTTTTTCCTTTTCTTCTTATTATTATTTGCTTCTTTAACTGTTAAACATAAATAATTCGTCCCTAAATATCTTGGAAATAAACAATCTTCTAGTTTGAAAATAAATAAATAATCTAAACACCCCGCTACGCTACCCCCCCCCCCCCGAATTAAACTATCGTCCTCTTAAAATGTAGAGTTGACTCAGTTAGGAGTATGCATTATTTTAAATAATAAAATACTTTTTTGAGTTATTTCAGCATAACTGTTACGAAAAAAAGTTTTATATATCGGAAATAGTTGAGTTACTCCGGAATATACTATTTTAGAGTGAAAATTCGGCGCATGCGCTTTGCGATTTCCGGAGTGAATCTCACCCGTCCCCGAGAAAAATCCCAAATTTTAGCACTAGCACTGGTTCTCTGCCCTTGATTCCAGTCGCTTGCGCCCGTTAACCAATGTCAGGGTACCAGTCTACGCCAAATTCAACTAAAAACATTGCTAATTGTAACTCAATCATTGTTACTTTGTATCACAATCATAAACTAGGATTCCTACAGTGATCCTTAAACTTTTTTAAAGCCATATCCAGAATAATGAAGTAAGAACAAAGGCTTCTTTTTGAAGATGTCAGAATCTTCAGTGAAATGTAAGATACTTTTTCTCGTTGATGGGAATCAAGGCGGTTGTGCACAAGACGTGAAAAATGAAGCAAAAGTTTTGGCTAACAGAGTAACTCTTTCAGCATTTCGAATCTTGACTGCTTTAAACGAAAGAGTCACGAGTAAAACGAACTTAAAAAGAGGTAACAAAACACAACACTTGAAATGGAGTTACAAAATTTATAATTCTTCAAAATACACATTGAAAAGACTTGTGAACCCTTTCAAAGAATTCAAAACCAGGTACTTCGAAGAATTTGAAAATGAAGTTGAGAGAAATATCGAAACAGCAATACAGGATATTCAGTCAGATATTGACACTGTAGGACACATACATGGAAAACAATACCCAGCAAACATACTAAATAAGGTTCTAAATGAAATTGTTCTGGATTATCAGTGGGAGGATCCAGATATTTTCTCACCAGTTAAAAGTAGGAGAAAGAGTGTTAAAAATGAAAATCATAGCAAAACAGAAAATTTTGTGTTTTTATTTGCAAACAGCCCTAAAAACCCAGTAGGATTAAGACAGTTTTCAGGAAAAGTTGTACTCGATGATGAGATCTTTCTGGATTCTTTCATGCCGCCAGACTTAATAAGTACATTTTCTCACAATATCAGGCTCTCAATGAACTGGATAGACACTGATGTTTCCTTTGTAAGTATACTTCAGTTAAAGTTTTATAAGTTAAACTTATTTGTTAATTGGATTATATTGGATTGAAGCATTTTGAATTTAAAGTAGTTACCAGTTCACATTTGTATATCTCAATTTTGAATATTTGTGCAGCTTGATGTAAACCCAGTGAGTGTCCAGTTTGTGGAATCTGCCATCCATAAACTTTATGGAAGCCTTATACCAGTGGAAACATTGGTTCAGTCAAATAGACAGTGCATTGGTAATATTTTCTCGAATCTAAAACCAAAACCAGTTGAAGGTGTTCTACACACCTGGAAAGATTCATCAGCTGTCATGGGACTTGTTTCCTACACCTCTGTGATAGAATATCATCTGCAACATCAGTCCAAGTTAGGAGCTGAGACTATTGACTCCTCCACTATCAAGTGTAATCTCACATCGAGTGGTATGAACCATGATATCATCATACTTTGCATATGTCATGAAAAAAAAATATTAATAGCAATTATAATTAGGTACAGTATGAATCATACAAAATTTATTGACTGATAATTGTTTTGTTTTTTTTTTTTTTAAATGACAGTTTTATATAATTTATTATAAGGTTTAACTTTTTAAAAATGAAATAATTTGGTATAGTTTATGATAAGGTGATGAGTATGTATGTTTATCAATGACATACTTTTTTGACAGATGACTCACTGATGTGCCAATTCAGTATTTCCCCTGCACAGACTTCAACACTTAATGCAAGGTGACTGAGCATATAGTAAAGTTTGTTGATAGTCAGCACTATGATGCTAAACCATAAAACAATTTTTACATTTTCTTTGAAAAAAAAATACAAAAAATTCATATACCCAGTAAAATCAATTAAGCGCTAATAACAGTCTTTCCATGCTGAAACCATATTTCAAATGAGATGTCTTTTAGATCCATTAAATAAAATTTTGGTGTAGCATTCCTCCGTAAATTACACTGTATATTATTTCTGTTTCATTTCCTTTAACCCCTATCTTAAAAGAATGAACATTGCCATTCTATAAAATTCAAATACTCAACTTTTTATATCCAATGTTTATCATGTAAGAGATTTAATTCAGTTCTGAAAAAAAAATTCAGATTATATTTTGTTCTTTTACAGTGGTAGGTCACCAAAGAGACACAAAAGAAGCCATGCAAAAGACAAGTTAAAGGCTCAGGAAAAATATTCAGTGTTACCTCTTAATGATAACAGCATAACTCTAAGGTATAGTAAGTCTGCAGAGAGGCAGTTGTCCTGTGATGATGTTTACATTAATGAAAGCCAATTGTAATCTTAGTTTACAAGAAGCTTCAGAATGCAATGAATTAAACAAAATGATTACGACTTCTGCTAAAATATGGAGTAATACAATGTATTTAAAGAAAGGTAATCTTTGAATCAATTTTACTGAATACTGATATCTTTAAATTTCCTCTGCTTTTTGCTTGTATGTACATATTTATGCGTAATACACTGATAAGTACACATCTACATTACATTGATGAATAGCTCAAGTTGAATAAAGCAAAGCTTTATAGCATGAGGTCATGTAAGAATCCACAATTCGACTTCTGATAGTAGAATAATTCTTTGATATGAGAATTGGAACAAAACATACAATACAAAGTTGTAAATAATGCCATTAATATATGTACCAGTATAATTTAAAAAAGAAAAAAATGTGTTTAAGATGAACTGAAGTATTTATAATAGAGTGATTTAAAATGTATACTGAAAATGAAATGCAAAAGAAACACAACATCCTATTTTAGGGGGAAATATTATATATAGGATATAATTTTGTATCTAAAAAGTAAGGACATCTTCAACTTTGTAAATATCCGTTATTTAACGGTTGAATGATTTTCATACCATTACCGGAAGTTAAGTTTTAGTCCGCGTAACAGAAATCAAAAATTGCATGTTTAACAAAACATTTGGCAATAATATGGGGTTTTAAGTGTTTGTATCTGTTCATCATAAGTAATGCAGCAATATTCCGAAAAAATAAATTTTCATTTCTTTTCCGTAAGCAATGCCAAGGCTTCCTGAAAATGACTTAAGTACGCATTTCCATTGCAAGATAGCTGGAAAATCTCAAAGTAAAGGTGATGGAGAGTTGCAGATGAAAATATGCACTACATCACGCCTCAAGAGGCTCTTACGTTTCATTAGCATGAATGACAGTCCTTGGACCGAAAGTCCAAGGGTTACTACACTGCACTAGGCTAGAGAAAATTCGACCTTATCATCTGAAAAATGGGCATTTAAAAATGACAAAGAATATTTCTTCACTCAGATCTCGAGATTGATGAACCTCGCAGAAATCAAGCTGCAATTGTTGTGCATGGCAGTCTTGCATGCTGTTATTGAATGGTCTGGGTGGGGGTGTTTTAACAGTCACGTGTTACTTTCTCAAGTTAAAAGATAATCATTTAACATTTTTATCAAATCTCTGATGTTTTTATATCGAGTTTTACCTTACTGTATTCATTTTTGAAAATCATTAGATAAAGAATTCAAACATTTGTAGATTACTGCTTGTTGCATTTCTTTTGCGTTTCAGTATATATTTTCTTATTCCTACAAGTTGAAATGATGTATGTGTGCTCAGCAAACCTCTTGAATATATATACATGTATATATATATATATATATATATATATATATATATATATATATATATATATATATATATATATATATATATATATATATATGTATATATATATACTTTTTTAACTCATTGGATAAAATCATATTGTTTAGATATCCTCTATGTAATACTGTAAATAATTTAGCTTACAGTTACCATATCCATGAGTATTTATTTGTTCATGTATATACAGTCAAACCTTGTTGTCTCAACATGCTCAAACTCGATGGGACTGAGGAAAAAATTCGAGATATCCGAGGATTCGAGTTAACCAGGGTAAAATACTTAAGAAATAAACACTTGGGACTTCAAAATCACTTCGACATATCCATGGTATTCCAGATATGGTGTTGGAGATACCGAAGTTCAGCTGTATTTTGTATATGCTCTGTCAGGGCTCGACATTAACTTTTTTTCCTACTTGTCCATTCGGACAAGTGACCAAGACATTTATTTGTCCGAACTTCAACTTCACTTGTCAGAAAATGTTTCAATAAAGATCTAATACCGTCAACTTGAAAACTAAAATAAAGTCCGTTACACATGACATGTGCTTGATTGACTTGTGATGTTGTTGATAAATACAACAAACACATAAAACGAAATTTTATCTAGGCTTTCTGTTCTGACAACAACAAAAATGTCCACAAGTGAACTTGTCAACATCAAACAGAATCCAAATTTCATTAAGTTCGTAAGATCCATGCCTTTTCAGTAGTATGCAATTAGTGAACTTTGATCCCGATCGCATGTGAACTCAATTAATAGCGATCCCTATCGGGATCGAAGTCCGGTTTTTTATGTACAGCTTCTTGAAACTACTGATTAACTTTCAACAGTCGTTCTTTTTATTATTTAGAGACTCCTTTACATTAATATGCACTTGTCCAATCGGACAAGTTCCCAGCAATATTCACTTGTCCGTAATTTTTTTTCACTGGTACCGGACAAGCGTTAATGTTGAGCCCTGTCTGTTTACTCCTTCTGAATCTTTACTCACCAGTTATGAAACACTAGCACATATCTGAAAAAGAGTATGTCAGCAGAGCAACTGCTATTTATATGCTATGTTAATTGAATAACATTTGATATTTCTTTAAGGTATTTGCAGCAACTAATTGAAGTCAAATAATGTGTCGCTTGCTTACTGGTATGATAATCTAGCAATGTATATAATTATATACATGTACTTGTCTATGCAAATCAATAATGAGACAATAAAATCTGTTGGTTTTTTTTTTGATTGTATGTAGGATGTATGGAGTTCTCCCTTTAAGAGATACTGAATTTATTAAGTACAAATATGGAGAAGATTTCATCTGTTGTGAGGATGATACAGATATGGAGAGTGTTTGTCTGGTGCCATTTGAGGACTTAATAAGGAAGCTAATAGCATCCACACAAGTTCTGGTTTGTAATGTAATCTTTCTAATGTGGAAGTTTGAGTTTAAAATCAAATTTCAGATAAAGAATAAGAAAAATTTACCAAAACCTTTGATATCAATAGGTAATACTTGTTAATACTAATACAAAGGTGTGTCATAGCCTTGAACAAAAGTTTTTCAAAGTAGGGGTGGTAAATTTTCCAAAGGCACCTGTAGTAAAGTGAAGTTTAATGCAATGAATTCTTTTTTATATCTTTCTGAAAGAGAAAGTATTTTTTTGTCTTCTTACAATTCACTCAAAACCTGCATGACAAAAATGTTAACATAATGATAATCAAATGCAAAGTGGGTTCACCCATAATAATATTTTTTATTAAAGGCTGTTTTAGAATACATCTTTTACAATGAACCCAAATTTAAAATTTTATTGCAGGTTTATTGTGGAACCAGAAAAACAAATTCTTTGTCATCTACAGTTTATTAATTGAATGGTTCTTCCCCCCCCCCCCCCCCCCCCCCAAATAAACACACAAGAAAAAAAAAAACCTGTTACAAGTGGTACAAAATTTACATCGTATCCTGTAATGGTGACATTACTTCCTTTTGTGAAATGATGAGGGTTGTCCATTAAGTCTGTAGACAAATGCTACAATTTCTCAATAATGACCACAATGCCAAATGTGTACAATAATATTTTAATAAAGACCATGATTTAGTAAATGTATGAAAATTATAACAATGCACACTATTTTACGAATGTTATAGGAATGAATACTTTGTTACAGTAAATGCAAGCTTCACAGCCCTAACATTAAGCTAGTTTCATGATAGCATCAAAAATATAGATTTAGAGTTTATATCACATGTTTGTTGACACAGCTCTTTTTTCTTAATTATGCCATACTTCCAAGTGTGTACAATAAAATTTATATATAGATCGTAATTGAGTAAATTTTTAAAATTCAAAACAATATACTATAATTTTCGAGTGCAGTCAGTATAAACACTTTGTATACACAGGGCTAAGTTCAAAGTTGAGCTAGATTCATAACAATGTCATGAATGGGGATATTCTTTTTTCATCAAAAACAGTGTTTTTTCACTTCTTGCAGTGTCTTTCACAGTGTTTTCCCTTTATTTCAAAGTAAAAGGTTAGAGATCAATTGTAACAGGCTTTGGGTTGAAGTTTATGACAAATCTCTGTGGACCTTACAAGAGTCTAATTTCGATTTTTTTAATTTGATATATATATATTTTTTATTTCGAAGCAGCATTTTTATCAATTGAAGCGGTCAATTTGGACGGTAACCGGTTCTTAAGTTAAACACTGCTCTCAAATTGCGCACACCATTGAAAAACCATATATACCAATTGCAAATCAATGAACTTGATATAATTATATTCCAGTAATTTCCAGTTGTTAGAATAATTATTTTGTCTCTGCATTGTTTCAACCATATTAAAACATAATTTTGTGAATAGACTGTCAAATTTAGAAACATATTCTTGCGTTTTTTCTTAATATCTTCACTATCTGTCCAACGACAGACACTAATGATATCAGAAAATGATGACAGCTGCTTTATTTGCGACACATATAATTTTTATTAAGCTTTGAATTGTTTTATGAAGAAAATAATCATTTGAATCCAAAAACTTTATTTCAAAGTATATAGCATTTAACCCTGGACCCTGTGCGCACTATCTTCGACCTGTAAAGACCGTGATTTTTACAAAAATTTTAAGTTAAACAATCAAAACCAAACTATTTTTACATGGATTTTCCTAACAAATATTTTGTTATACAGTAATTATAAGTACAGTCAAACCTTGTTATCTTGAACCTGATGGGATCGAAAAAATACTTCGAGATATCCAAGGGTTTGAGATATCCAGGGTAAAAAAATAAGAAATAAGCAATTGGTTCTTCCAAATCACTTCAACATATCCATGGTATTCGAGATATCAGTGTTCGAGATACCGAAGTTCAACTGTATATCTAGGTTATTCAGTTTGATAAAAACGTCATTGTCCACAAACTTTATGGACAACCCTTGTACAACAGTGTGTTCTCTTGCTTACAATGTAATATACTTTCTAGATATGTGAACATGTATGATTTATTAACCATTTCAGATTTTAGTGACAAAGAGCACCCCTGTCTTATTTGTCCTGCGACCTTTGACTCCCACATCAGCTACGCTGAGTTCACTTTGCCTTAGTGAATCCCTGGATGTGGAAAAAAAGCTATTGTGTTCAGAATCCTCACCTAAAAAGAAAACTAAAGTTGTGAAGGAAAAACCATGGGATCAGTTGATATCTAGAGCAGTTCAACATAGCAGCAAATGTGCTAGCACCTCCACTGATCAGAAAAGTAAAAAAAATTATATAAAGACTCTGCACTGTATTCACATGTACATGTATATAGTATTTGTTATCTAAAAAGTAGGAAACATTGCGTACAGGATTAAACCCAGAAACTGATGAAAAGTTGAGAACAGTGTTTTCAAAAAGAAAAAAATCGTTTGACAAATTTTTTTAACAAGTTGCTAATATTCACAAACATTAACCATAAAAAAATTCTCTAAACTACATGAATCTTAAAATAGGTATAAATGAAGGAATATTAGGTTACTCAAAAAGCTGCTACATTTTTTATAATGGAAATGCATGTTTTTCATTGTCAGATTTTGCTTTTGAATGTTAGACTTTGCTTTGAAATGAAAGATTTTGCTTTGAAATGTTAGGTTTTGCAGTCTGTTTAAATTTTTAGCTTTTGTTTTACATAGACAGACAGTGCTTTGATCCCAATGTTCTGGGGAGGACACATTTACCTGGTTGTAGATCTGGTCTGGTGTCTCTGATTGAGAAACTCAACAACAGGTAAAAAGTTTTACCAACAATATGGCATAAGAAATTGAAGCTGAAGAAAACAGCTTTATTTGAAGAACTGCAATATTACCATTCTTATCAACATGTGTTTTCATGACTTATATGTAAGTGTATTATTTTTTATGGTCTTTGTCATAGCAGTACCTCCAAATATCATTGCCAAATGATAAATTGTTCAATTACGAGGGCTGTTCGAAAATTATTGAGACAATTACTTTAACTCCATAAAGGGCAGAGATAATTTCAGGAAAATTCGTCAACATTTTATAAAGAACGAACAAAACAATTATTCAAAATTTCTAATTTAAAGGATAATTAGATAAGTTCCGGTGAAATAATAAACATGCATATGTCTTATTGACCTGGTGCAGCATCGCTACGTCATTTTGACGTCACGTCAGCCGGAGATGATTTTGCATGTGAAACAATCGGGAAGCGTTTACTCTTCTTTCTTTATTATCATAATTATACACCCTACAAAAATTAAACTGTCTCTTTTCTTAAATGAATCTTTAGAAAATGTGTGCTGTTGCTTCACTATTGTAAATTTTTCATGTGTCATTTATACAGGATGACTTAGCATCATGCAGTGCCGATTTATGCAATGAGGATCAACGTTATTAATTCCGTTACGGTAAAAATTGGTGGTCTTCCGGAGCTTTTGATTTTACTGTAGTTGAATTATAAGTTAGAAAAAATATATATACCAATGAAATACATGTAACAAACCCTTAGGCATGTTTTTTTTTTCTCGTTGTTATTGTTTTAGCAGGTTTGTCAGTCTGGAAAGGAGTTTTACATAGCGCTACACAAAATTTTAGGTCTCATGCTGCTCCTCCTTGACGTCAAAATCCATTTTGTCGTCGTTATCAGATTTCTTTACCTCACTTAATTTTTCTAATGATCTCCGTATTTCTGATCAGAATTCTAACAAACTTGCACAACATGAAGTCAAAATAAAATTAAAAAATCATATACATAAATTGAATTATTTTCGCTCTTATTATGGGTCCACCGGGGTGTTGAAATTTGGTGTTACATATTTTCAATATCTGATTTCATGACTGCGCCGGGTACCCCTACCATTGACACATTTATATACCATTGAAGAGAAGAAATTTAATATTTGTAAAATATTTCTTGCTTTTATGAAGTCTTAATGTTTGTCAAACGTATATGCAAATTTTCACCGAAAGACGTTCATTAGAAAGAAAAATATACAAAATGTCTCAATAATTTCCTAACAGCCCTCGTACTTGCATATAGTTTTGAAGTTTTACATTCATCTTGCTTTATTATTTCCAAAGAATATCTCAACTGGAATTTCTGAATGAAAATGAAGTTGAAACTTTGAAAGAACTACAACAGGTTTATCGGCAAGAGAATAAACCCATCAGACCAAGAGAGACTGTGCAGCCCCAGTTACAAGGTTTGTAAACACATCAGTGTAAAATCATACAAAAATTTTATCAATAGAAACATTATTTAGTAATATTGTTATCAAGAACAGGATGGTTAAAAAAGATTTTGAAGTACACTATAAAAGTAGGGGTGAAACGATACACCTCCTTCACGGTTCGATATGTATTGTATAATTTTGTCTCGGTTCGGTTATTTTCGATACGATACATTTTGATAGAAGGAAACAAATTCTACGTTGTTTTATGCTTTCTTTTTCTAAATCTAGTCACATATTTTACGAATTTTATTTGCAAATTGACTAGAAGAAATTGATTAAAATTATTTGACTGTCAAAAATTATTTTACAAGCTCTCAGTCATCAAAAATTTACATTTTCTATACTTATTTATTCTGAGTAACGTGTTATACCTTATGCCAAACCCGACTGAATAACGATCCCGACCGAAAAATGAACCGAACCGAAAATTAGAGATTTTGCACCGTGTATCAAACCGAGAAAAAATACCGCGGTGCATCGATACCGCGGTGAACCGTTTCACTCCTATATAAAAGAAATCATACAATAGTCAAAAACCAGAAATAGTGAAAATCAATGTACAATACATGTATGTTAAGAAAAGTGACATAAATCTTATAATTATTTTTCAATCTTTAAGAATTTGAAGAAGGAACTCCCTCTCAGCCAGGGTCACAGAGTACAGATACACTGCCTTCTCGTGGTGTTCTGATGGTAAACAAGAGCAGACTATCATCTGTATTCAAGGAGGACAACTCTGCAGTAACAAAGACTCCAGAGACTGTAAAAAATACCAACACAGATATGACCAGTTTGCAAACTGGTACATGTACATGTGATGACATGCTGATGGATAGAAATTCAGTCTTTTACTTAAAAAAAAATGCCTAAGTATATTGTACATGTACATGGTTATTCATTATGTGTATATGTATATGAAAAATGGACATGATCTCAAATTTTTCATAATGGTTCAACAAACAAAAGAGAGTAATTTTAAAGATTTTTCTACACAAATAAATTGAAATTTTTTATCTTTTGAAAAACATTAAATGCATCAAAACTTAATAAAACTACTAGGATGCGTAATGTTAGACTGTGTCAATGTTTATTTACTTCTGGAAGCATCAGATTAATTAAGACCTTGTTAAATTCAGACAATGCCATAAGGTCCTCAATTATAAATCTAATACAGAGTGAAACTAATATTTTGTTCACAATATTTGTAATTTTTTTTCTAGTTCATTTTATTTAAATTTTTTTGAAAGTTTGTATCATAGCCCTATGAAAATATGTGACATAACTTTGTGGAGTGTATAAAATCATGAATATTATTAATTTGACTCTGTCTTTCAATACCATTTCAGTACATTAATGTATTTATAGAGTTTGAATCAGAAGAAGAACTTGTGGAATATTTGATTAAATCCTACAATGAGAGGGTGGTGGAAGGATGTGAGAATTTTTACTTGGCAGCACAGAGTTTAGTGATGGTGCCATTGCATTATGTAAAAGACCAAAATGTGGATAATCCCCAGGTTTGTGCTTTATGAAACAAAAATTGATGTACATGTATTTTAGTTAAACAACTGATCTACATGTTAAAAGATAATTTTTTAACTTTAGGAAAAGTGTATTGAGCTTCTGGAGAGAGGAGTAGTTTTGCCCATTGGATCCTTGAAAGAGAGACATCAGAAAGAGGAAAGAAAAAGTCAGACACAGATAGAGTAAGTCACTGACTGAAAATATATACATGTACACATATACACAATATGCAGTGGCTACAACATTGCTTTAAAAGATACACAAAACAACCATGATACATGCACAATTGGCCAGCTAGACGAACAATCCTTGCATAAGGTTCTACACATTATGGCTGCAGTTTGTATATTTGATATAAAGACTTGTACTTGAATTAGCGGACAAGAAGCAGTGTAGAATAGGGCTGTATCAATATATTGATCGATATTTAAGAATGTATTGTATCGAAAAAATAACTTCCAATATGTATTGGACAGGCAGATTTTCTTATAATTCTGTGAAAAAGTTGGGAATTTCAATCACCAAAGGTTATAGTTTTCACTGTTTTATAGCAGTGAGCAGGTTATCAAAATATCTGAAGTACTGTAAATGTAATTTTTTCTACAGGGTCATAATTCTGTGGAATCACAATTTCTATTCAATTCGTGGGTAGAAAATTATGTGGCTTTCTTGAATTGCCATTGTATGTTTTGCATGCACTCTAAGTACGCTGTGACAAATTCCCGCAGAAAATTGGTAACCATGTACATAGCATAAAGAACTTTGAACGATAGTATTGTTCTGCTGCCTACCTCCAAGTCAAATTTCAAAGATTAACATATTTGAATGATTTTTCATATTTATACAGATATTCATGTGAATTTTCAAAAAAAAAAAAAAAAAATCTATAACTAATTTGGGAAAACAAATAGAGATAACTCTATAATTTTGGTAAAAATTGCATTTTTTCATTTTAGAAATCAATGGAAAATATTTTTAAAACAACATTGAATTAAATGGGTGTGAAATGTAGGCGGGAATTGAGAGTTAGCATGCATGGTTCTTAATCCCACATGGAAAAAATATATCTACAGTATTTTAATGTAAGGAACATATTACAGACCCATTTTGAATAATTGTTAGAGGCACTTTTTGTTCCTTCTTTTTAAGACACAGTAATTACTGCATTATCTGTATTTCAAGTTGTCAAATGAGGCCTGAATATTTGCAAATTTATTTGGAAAATTCTTGATTTTTTCTTATTTGTTTTATCTTAGACTTTGCTGTACAAATCATTAAAATACTGATAACACAATTACAATGACATTTATTTTTAGCTCTTCTGAGCCAAAGGCTCAAAGAGCTAATGCTATGGCCATTTGTACGGTGTGCGTAAACTTTTTAGAATATGGGCCATAACTCAAGAACCCCTTGGCCAATTATTGTCAAATTTAGGACTAAATTTAAAACTAGGGTTGTGACCCTTAAACAAGGGGAGATAATTAGGAAAATAGAAACAAAAGTACTGGTTGCTAAAAAATCTTCTTCTCAAGAACCACTGGGCAGATTATCACCAAACTTAGGCAAAAGAATGAGGATATGTTGTAGATTAAAATTTGCACGGGGATTTTCCCTTTGGGCAAAGGGCGTGGTCTCAAGGTCACTTCAAAGTTGACCAAAAATTACATTTTATTAAAATGTTGATATTTTGCTTACTATAAGGACTAGGATCATCAAATCTTGTCTAACGAACTCGTATCATGTTGACTCAAAAGTAGGTCACACTGACCTACTTTTTACATTTTGCAGCCATTCTTTTTCAGAATGATTTAGAGGCATATTTTGAACAATTTAAGGCCTATGATCATCAAACTTTGTCAGTTGATGTATCTTGGGTCTTCGAAGTACGTTGACTAAAAGTAGGTCACCTTGACCTACTTTTTGAATTTTATGGCTAATCTTTTTCAAAAAAATTAAGGTCATTAATTCGAATACTGAGAGGTTTAGAATCATTAGATCTTGTAAGATGATGCATCTTGGGGCCATAAAACATTTTTATTAAAAAGTAGGTCACAGTGACCTACATGTACTTTTTGAAGTTAGCAGGCATTCGATTTCAAAGCGTTTTAGAGGCATATTTTGGACATTTTAAGGCCTATGATCATAAAACTTTGTAAGTTGATGCATCTTGGGTTCTCAAAAAACATCAACTGAAAAGTAGGTCACCGTGACCTACTTTTCAATTTATATGACTATAATTAAATATTTCGGGTACTAATTGGCTTAGAATCATCAAACTTTGTCAGTTGATGCATCTTGGGTCTTCGGAGTAGGTTGACTGAAAAGTAGGTCACCGTGACCTACTTTTGAAAATTTATGGCTTTAATTTAACATTTCAGGTACTAATTGGCTTAGAATCATCAAACTTTGTCAGTTGATGCATCTTGGGTCTTTGGAGTAGGTCGACTGAAAAGTAGGTCACCGTGACCTACTTTTGAAAATTTATGGCTTTAATTAAATATTTTGGGTACTAATTGGCTTAGAATCATCAAACTTTGTCAGTTGATGCATCTTGGGTCTTCGGAGTAGGTTGACTGAAAAGTAGGTCACGGTGACCTACATTTGAAATTTTATGGCTGAATTAATATTTTCGGGTACTATTTGGCTTAGAATCATCAAAATTTGTCAGTTGATGCATCTTGGGTCCTCAGAGTAGGTTGACTGAAAAGTAGGTCACCCTGACCTACTTTTGAAAATTTATGGCTTTAAGGTCAAGATCTAGTAAATGAAAGGTGCCTACAGATTTCTCAAATTTGAGAAATAAATTCCTTTAATGGTGCTTTATAACTTTAGCTTGGTCAGATAAGGTGTTTCGGGCATAATTTGTAGATGAACAAGACGAAAAATCATATTTTAAACTGTCATTTTCAATGGAAAATTAAGAAAACTGGTCATGAATACGGGAGTTTTTTTCCATATCAGACAAAGAAATGCATCCAGATTGCCTACAGTCTCTCAGAAAACGGTAATTTGTATGTTCTTGGCCTCTTCTTTAAAATAATGTTAAATTGAATATAGGTATCGGGATTACTTTTCACATGATTTCAAATTGAATTCTATGAAAGTACTTTATTTTCTACAAAATTCTACTAGAGCCATAAAGTACGGGAAAAAGAAAGTTAAAATTGATTATGACGTCATAATGGATCTAGTACTAAAAAGTTAGTCTGAAGTCATTTACTAGATCTTGACCTTAATTAAATATTTTGGGTACTAATTGGCTTAGGATCATCAAACTTTGTCAGTCAATGTATCTTGGGTCCTCGGAGTACAACAACTGAAAAGCAGGTTATTGTGACCTACTTAAAATTTATGTCTTTAATTAAATATTTCAGGTACAAATTGGCTTAGAATCATCAAACTTTGTCAGTTGATGCATCTTTGGTCTTTGGAGTATAACAACTGAAAAGTAGGTCGCTTTGACCTACTTATAAAATTTTATGGTTATAATTTTAAAAAATATTTTAGGTATTAATTGGCTTAGAATCATCAAACTTAGTTGATGGGTCCTCAGAGAATGACAAGTGATAAGTAGATCACCATGACCAACTCTCAGGTACTAATTGGCTTAGAATCATCTTGGGTTCTCAGAGTGTAGTGTGAATTGGAATTTCAAGGGTTTATCTAAATATACAGGATACTTAGAGGCTTCAAATAGAGGTGATAGGTTGTACAGTTTATCAGAAAAGCGATTCAAGGCCCTTGGGCCTCTTGTTAGTTTCTAGACAGAATTATATATATTTTAGTGGTAGTTTTGTCTTTGTTTCCATCAGTGCTTTGTCTAGTGATAAGGTTTGTGGCATGCACTAATTTAAAGTTCAGACAGATGTTTATATTAAGAAAACAAAAAAAACCTGATAAATTTGTATCATCAGATAAACTGCTTTTAAAATTTGTCAACTATATTGTAGCCACTGGGGCAGGTTAATATATGTGTACTGACGAACACCAGATTTTATGCAACACCTTATTTTCATCAGATAATTATTTGGTATTTTCAAGTGAGAGAAAATGTTCAAGAATTTTGGTTATCGTTTTATATAATCTTTATGAATACATACATTGTATATATGCTAGAATGGAATTTTTGTGAGCAGATGGTCTTGTGTAAGTAGGCGAAAACAAAGTTCTCATGAATTACATGACACGATTGCAAAAACATTTAACATGATTTTAGTTTCTAGACAGAATTATTGATACACATATTTTAGTGGTAATTGTTTGTGATTTACAGTGGTTTAAAGTATTTCAAGTGTTTCTTTTCATCTATTTTGCATGAAAAGGTACAAAATTTTGTAGTCGTATAATGTACACTTTTTAAACATAGTTTCTTTGAATGATTTTGTTGTAGACTACAGCTGCAGACAGTGCTGAGATTTGAGATTCTCTCTTTTCTACAACAAGGGGACCAGTCTATGACAGAAGAAGATAACAGACTTAATGATGTAAATAACATTTCTCATTCTCTAGTGTTCATACAATAAAAGTATTATGTTTGTACATGCCTTAGCATATTTAAAACATAGCACTTTATTTAGGGAATTTGTTATTTGGCATTCAAAAATTAGAGCTAGGGGTTTATATGTACATGTATGTTATCACATACTAGTACATGTATGTAAAATATTACTTTGGCAGTGATTGTGAATTCCAGCACCAACAACTGTGTTAAATTTACATGCATATGAACTTTTTAAAATTATACACTTATACAGTAATTGTTTAAGTTTTTTTCCCTTTTTTGAATTATGTGTAGCTTTGAATACATTTTTATCTTGTAGATTGTCACCCTTTTGAGGACACTCAGCTTTCACACAGATCCCAAGTCCCTGTCTGACTTTATGAACAATAGTCTTGTTGAAAAGTAAGACACATATCTGCCTTCAGAGAGATAGCAGATGTGTTTGATGCAACAGATTTAACTCTGAAGTGTTTTTTTTTTTTTAAAGAATTGAATTTTAGAAATTAAAATAGCTGAAACAGTGAATGCACCATATACATATATAAGGCTTAGGTAAATATATCTATGTACTGCTTCCTTGATTTTGATGAGAAGTGTTGGCACTGCTGTTCATAATAGAACTTGAAATACATGTACATGTATTTGTTCAAAACAAACACAAAGTTCAGAATTATTTCACACATTTTAGAATATTTATTCAAATGTGGGAATGGTTTTAGAGCTACAGTCTTGTAAGAGACTTCTGGTTTTCTTTGAGAATGAACATTTCTGTTTTATCATAATATTCATTTGTGTCAAATTCAATGTACATGTATAAGTAGAATGTAAATAAGACTGTCCAGAGTACAGACCAAAATTACCAAATACATGTATATTGTAGTTACATCCACACATTGCCACAAACTCTGGGTAATGTTTATGATGAATTGATGCAGCCACTTCCTGTTGCCCTGGAAGCCATTCTTTCCCCTGACAATAGTGCTGACCAATCAGTGTTCAGCAAATCAGTCATGGAGGCAGAGCTTGACAAGAGTATAGAACCATCCTCCTCACAGCCTCCTTCTATCTCAGAAGTGTTACCAAAATCTAATGATGCACCAGTTAGTAAAACAAGGTAATTAAATATATCTTATTTTCTGTCTTTATGCAAAGGAAAATAGACAATGTATACATATTTTGTTTTATATTGTGTTATAGGACCAGAAAAATTATGCACTACCCAAGTTTGTCAGATATTGGATCAAAACGTCAGATATTTGTCAACACATCTACATCAAATGTTAAGGTAAGAATCATATGAATTTACCAACAATGAGAATTTTCATATGATCCTTTGATATACAATTGATTATTTATTCTTTGTTTTTATATTAATTGGAATATTGTAAATGAACTATCTTTGTCTGTCAAACTTGTTTCAATGAAATCACTTGTGAGACTTGGAATTTTATGTTCAAGTTTCAGCAGGGGTTGATCTGGAAAAAAAAAACTTAGCTAAGACAGAATTTTGTTATAAACTTACTGTGATGCATACATTCATTTATTTTCATATGCTTTTTTAGAATTGTACTAATTTTCAGTACAGATTGGTCTAATGCACGGCTAAGGGCTCAACTTATTTTTCATGTCTTTTAGATATCTGTGTCATTATTATTCAATAAAAAGTACTATTGTTTCATCTTGTCAGGAGCCTTCTTCTTCACGGAAGAGGAGAAAATCAAAAAGAGGTATTGAAATTATTTCTAATATATACATATACAATAAATTGAAATTGGATCCTCAGAACTTTTTTCATTGTTTTGTTTGTTAGGGAGAAAAAATAATTTCACTCAAGTACATGTACATTGAGTTATTGTGTACATTGATTTGAGAAAAATCATCTCTAAAAAATATTTTGAAATTTCAGTTTAATACTCTGTTGAATTTTTAAAGAGATTGTTTTAAATTATAATATTTAGATTTAACAAGGCAGTTTAAGAGCAAAATAAAGCTAGAGAGAAGACAGTCAGTGGCAGTGATGGAGACCATCAAGTCCCCCAAAGGAAGAAAACTGGCATCCTCTAAACTCAAGTCCTCTAAACGTTAGTACAGTGTTTCTTTATACATGTATATTTAATGTATGATTGTGAGGGAGATATAAAGAGCTATTCAGCAGAGAAAAATCATATTCCTCGAGAGCTCTGCTGAAGGGAATATGATTTTCCTTAGCTAAATAGCTCTTCATATATCCCAACATTCATGTACTAAATTGTTTATTATACTAAATGAAGACAAACTTTTAAAAATAAACACAGAAGTTCAAATTTAGCATGAGGACAAAATTCACTTGCAGTTAAAACAGGTATTTGAAACACTTTACTGCAAGTTCTGTGATTTCCAAGTGTTCTTAAAATCCTTTCTGTCAGGTATATAAGATATTTACATATTTCTACTGGGAATGCTATGTGGAATCTCCTATACAACAGATATGGTGACTGTTTATGTCTAATAGGTATTCTCAGCCAAGAAAAATAACTCTGATAAAAAAGTGAGTGTTCTTGGGTGGGATTCAATATTTTTTCCCAAGGGACTCAACATTTTTATTTTCTTACTCATGTATTGTAAGTGTCTAGACCAGATCATTTGAAGGTTTTATAGAATAATTATAATGAGGTACATGTATAATAATATTTCTTGCCCAAGGCATTGTGTATTTGAACAAAAATAATACTCTTGTAACCAAGTTTCACAAACAATTTTGTGATTTAAGGTACTTTAGGTTTATGTGATAGGATAACAGAATATTCATGAAATACTATAACAGCCAAGACAATGAATTAACACTTCAAATTAATCATTTAATAGTTTTAGTTTCACTTGCCTACAAAAAGAATTCTGAACTCAATATTTATTCCTTGACACTACTTTACACATGCACTCCCAGTTAATATTGATGAAATCTTGATTTTCACATCTATAAAACTTCCCAAAATTAAACATAAATAAAGGTTTTGTTATTCATGGGGGGAGAATATGATTTGCTATGTAAACAGTTATGTATTTTTTCCCACTCACTTCATACAGATAAGGGTTTTTTTTTTATTTTTTCATAGTAATCTGCTACAATATGTATTTTGTTATGAAGACACTTTATGATTTATAATATATATTTGATATCATTTTCTTGATGTGTACTTGCTTCTTACAGATTTGTTGTCTCCACCATTCAAGTCTCCAGCCAGAAAACCTCTGGTCACAGAAACCCCATCACACAAACAGAAGAATTCTGCTATGTGGAAACGACAGGAGGCAGAAAGAAGGAGATCCCTTAGTAATACTGCTGTTAAGGTGGTGGAGGAATCACCCCTCAAATCAGGTCAGTTTCCATTCCTGAAGTCTGGTCCGTTTCCATTCCTAAAGTCAGGTCAGTCTCCATTCTTCAAGTCAAGTTGGTCTCCATCACACAGGTCTGATCAGTCCCATTAATCAAGTCAGGTCAGTCACCATTCCTCAAGCCAGGTAGGTCTCCATTCCTCAAGTTAGGTAGGTCTCCATTCCTCAAGTTAGATTGGTCCCTTATCCTCAAGTCAGGTCAGTCACCATTCCTCAAGTCAGATCAGTCTCCATTCCTCAATTCAGTTCAGTCATCATTCCTCAAGTCGAGTCAGCCTCCGTTCCTCAAATCAAGTCATTCACCATTCCTCAAGTCAGGTTAGTCTCCATTCTTGCAAGTCAAGTCAGTATCCTTTCCTCAAGTCATGTTAGTCTACAGCTTCCATTAGTGTCCTTGTAAAATATATGTATGTGGCTTGATTCTTTTTCCATAACTCTGAAATTACAATTTGTCAGTTTTTATTGGAACTTCAATACTGCTGTATGATTTAAAAATTGAAATACGTGTATGTTGCTTTTCAAAGTGAAGTGAATAAGAATTTCAATTGTTTTCTTCTGCAGAGAGACCATCATTACTCAGCCCATCCCAGAATAAACGCGCTCTGCATAAGGTCAGACGTTCATTTTATTCAGCCTCAGCAGGTCCTCTGATACGATCTAGGTCAATGACCCAAGCAAATGTTGAATTGGGAGATAGAATTGCAGGCAGGATCCAACACTCTTCAGGAAAACTCAACAGTATTCTTAAAAAACCTCCAAGTCAGTCAGCTTTATTCAAGTCACCAGACAAAAATTCTTCATTCTTGCTATCACAGTTGATGGGAAGTCCAACTCCACAGAAGAAAACATCCAAGACACCAGGAAAAGGAACTCCCAACAAAGTAATTGCAGAGTCTCCTAGTATGTTCACAAGATCCAGGTCGCCATGTATATCTAAAGGTTTTCCAAAAGCTTTGTTTCAGGAGAGTCCTAATTGTAGAAAGAGTCAACCAAAAGTTGTCCGACACTCACCAAGTCTAGAGCAGTCAGAAGGAAAAGAGGATGAAAAAAATGTAAAATTTACCAACACACCCAGAAAATCTCCTGACTTTCTAGTAGCTGAGTCTCCCAGTAATAACACAAGATCTAAAACTTTGATGACTCCAACAAGAAAATCTGTCCGGGCTCTTTTGTTTGGAAAGAGTCCTGAGGGAAAGCCTGTGGAAGACAGTAAAAACAGAAACACTCCATCAAAATCAACCCCAAGAGCTCGAAGATTAATACTGAGTAAAACACCAGTGAAAGGTCAGAAGTCTATCACTATTGACCAGCATACTGGCAACACAGAAAATCTGACTCAGAAAAAATTGGATGAAATGAAACATACATGTACAGATGATTCCTCAAGTTCAACATCTATAAATGATGGAAAAGGAGATGCGAAAAAATCACCAGAAAAAAGTAGAACCCCTTCCCCTAAAATCCAAAGGAAAATTCGTACACCAAGTTCTCTTAATCATTGGCAAAGACGGAAAAGGGGCAGAGATGAAAGCATGCTATCTCCAAAACAATTGTCAAGGAAGTTTGGTACTGAGAGTACACAAAGCAGTCAGGAAAGCAAGGCTGTTGAAGAGGACAATGATACGATCTTCTCTTCACTGTCTCAGGAAGAAAAACAAGTCAACAACAAAAAGAGAGGCCTGGAATCTACAGAGGACTTGTCAACCATATTCTCACCAAGTAAAATAAAGAGAACATTGTTGAAAAACTCTGACCAGAGTAGTTTTAGAACATCATATACCCTTCATAACAAGATAATAGAAAAAAAATCTTCATTGCTTTCTTTTGCTAGTGGAAACAGTGAAGGTTTTGACACAACAGGCTTGACAGATTCCCAGACTAGCAGTGTGGGTCTCCATTCTAACTTAAGTAGAATGTCTCAAGCAAGTACCTCTTCCATGGAATTTTCCAATGCTAATGATGAAGTTTTCTTGTTAGAGAGTCAAAGTGGAGAAAAGACTGACACAAATATTACAGAACAGAATACAGATGCTGACATTGGCTGTAATTCTCCAGTGTTTGGATCAGGGAATAAAACCAGAAAAATACATCTGTCAGGAGCAAATAATGGACGAAATTCAGGACAAAAAGTGTCTCCTTCTGGGAGGAAATATTCTCCTAATGTCTCTGCCAAAAGTCTCATGCATCTAATGAATTCTCCACTTGTCACCTCTGAGAAAGTAGAGAAAAGTCCAAATGTGAGTAGGAATGTTGCTATTGTGAGGCATCAAAGACCTCGATCAAGACGGTCATTAAATCTTCAACAGTGATTATAATATGGTGCATTTGCTCTTGCTAGACGACACCGTCTCACAAAAGTTCAGGAAACAATAAACGCATATACATGTATATATGTAAATTATGAACTGACATTCTTTTTAATCAAGTGTACACTAGCTGTTAGATGTGCTTTGAAAATATGATTAGGCACAACAGACTATTTTTGTGAAATATATTTAATCAGATTTAAAACATTGAATTATATCTTTTTTGCTATTAATCTTTAAAATATAAATAAAGTGGAATATACTATCTATGAAAACTTCCTATTATATGATAAATAGTTGCTGGTAAATGTAATGTGGAGAACCAAATCCATGATATTTAGCTTTAGGAAAAATACAATCATAATGATTTTAGTCCGAGTGTATTGTAGTGATATACTGTGTGGAAGCTCTTATCACATTTATTAGGGCCCTGCTAGAATGTACAGGTGTTAAAAAGTTATCACTATCCATCTACAAAATTACATTTATTCCTAGTAAATATTTTGATAATTTATCCTCAAAGGTTGAATTTTGGTTAGTGGTAACCTGGTAGTAAGAAAATTTTGATAACAGTTCTGCTACTGTGTCATTGTGATAGGGCTCATTACTAAGAGAAAATTCTTAAACTTGGAAGAAAAGGATAATTCTTTTGAAGCCTTTGGAATAAATTATCTTGCTCAATATGTGAAGTTTAGGACCTTATTTGCCTTTGTCATATAGGATACTGCTTTTGTATGATGCATGCTTCAGTTTGGCTGATCATATAAGTCAATTAGGTGACATATTGCTATCTCTTTTCAACCAGTGTTGTGCAAATTGCTTTGTTGTAATCTTGAACATTTCCAGCTTCTCCCCTGGAACTGATGAACCAATTTCAAGTTATTTAAGAATAAAGCATCTACCGGTAGAGGGAAACAAAAATTGTGAATTGCTTGATTTTTGCCTTCCTGGGTCTGATTCTGAAAGGAAGTTGGAACCTTAACCTCCACCCCCAGGAAATAGAATTTTCGAGTTTGGACAATTTTCCTTTTTTTATTGTCTTGTCAAAAGTTAGTTTTTTCAGGTAATTGTATTCAGAACGATACTGCGTGCCTGAATATTGTGAAATTCACAAACCCTTAGTCCAAGGCTCAGTTTTCAGTCTGAGTTTATCATGCAATATTTGGACATATACATTGAAAAAAATATAATGTACATAACATCATTGAAAAAATCTTCTTTTATATTCATGGACATCTAGCAGGCAAAATATTTGCATGATTAATTGTAATAAGAACTTAAAACTGTAAAAATCAAATTCATGACTCCTTGGTCCAGAGTTCAGGCTCCAGGGTGGGACTAAGTTGGTCATATATTGAAAATACATTACATCTTTGAAAACCTTCTATAGAGAACATCTATTGGGTACTAAATTTATTATTACAATGACCCTGAACCAAAATTCACGTCCCCTGGATCCAGTCTTCAGACTGTTGGGTGGGGCTTAGTTGGTCATAATCATATATTGAAAGTACATACATCTTTAATTTTTTTTCATTTATTGGACATCTATTAGGAAAATTGCTTGCATGAATACACTGTATACAGGGTTATATTTTTGTCCCGTGTTTGTTTTCACCCACAGTCTATCTGACAGACATGTATTAATTTTTTCTTAAATAAAAAACGCAGACACATTGATTTCATCCTCGAAATATGTAGGAACAGTTTCTTGTTACATTAATTGTATATATGCATTGTATGTTTTTGGCATTAGCAAAATTTTAATTTAGGACAGGAATTTATAAATACTATATGGGAACTTAATTAAACTTGTAAGTACTTCAGATGGGTATGCCGGTGTAAAGACGAAAGATGACCCCCGTAGAAGATTGGGGTTCATTTTTTGACGTTGAAAAATGGTCCCCAGCATGTAATGTAAATTAATTCCTCTGATAAAGGAGAGCATCCTGAAAATCAAATGTGTACATGTATAAAGCACATGGATTAATTGCACTAAGAGAAACTGTATGATCAAGGTTTTCTTTTTCTTTTTTTTTTTTGACTCCATTCCTTTGCGGTTTCTGGGGTTTCATGGAAGTTTTACTTGCAGTTTAGGTTAAAACTGCTTACATATCCACTTTTTTTGCCAAATATAATGGATAATGAATTTTTGTTCTTTCGGTTTTAATGAAAATGTACCAAAAGTATCAAAAACGCCACACAATCCTTAATTCTTATTTAAAGTGCATGATACTTTTGCTATATGTCCAAAAATACATGTATGTACACTGTTAAAATCATTGAATTAAAAGTATATGCACTCAACGCAACTTGATAAACCGGTAGATGGACATGAAAAAAAATTTTCTCTCTCTCTCGAATAAAAAAAAAACAATGATACATTTGTCAAATCAAAATGGAGGAATTTCCACATGGTGCAGATTGAAGTGGATTAATGTTGTTAATTTATTTTAAAAAGAAAAAAATTATTCGAAAGATCTCATGAGACCAACATTTCATATCTTTCCTCATTTTAGGTGAGCATTTTGGCCCATGGGCCTTTTGATTTATAATTCTTCATCTTTTTAGCCATAAAGAAAAACATATTCCCAAAAAGGGGTCATTATTCTACGGGGTCATTTTTCTTCACGTAAGGTAAGCAGATTTTAAAGGTGATGCGACTTTTTCTACAGACAAAATGGTCATTTTTGACGTCGAAAAATGACCCCCGGCATTGTTCTGCTGTGGTCATTATTCGTCTTTATACCGCTCAGTATCGGAAATTTGTTTGTGACCATCGAGATTTCTATTTGTGGAGTAAAGTGGGTATAAGTGGAGGCCTAAATAAGCATTTGTTTGCTGTAAATAATGATTTTTAATTGATCCGACACTCAAATAGTTCTTACTATCCTCTAAATCAGTGAAAGTACTCACTTGTGCAATACAAGGAATCATTCATCAAATTCATCATATTAAATCATTTCTAATTAGCAACTTTATGTCCTACTTACAGATTTGATTTTTAATATAATCTTGGCCACATGTCAAGTTGAAGGCTTAATGCTACCCACAATTGCGGACCTGGATTATTTTATATTATTGAGATGACCATAAACACAGAGAAATTTCGTCCAAAGATCAAAAACCCAGGCTTGCAAAATAATGACAGAGGACAAAAGTTAACAGAAAGGGACTGAAAATGCAGTGTAATGTTAAACCTAAGCAAAGGCGCGTGTCTTTGAAATACTTCCATCGAGAGGAGAGCAATGTTAAGAAAGAGGAGAAAGAAAGTAGTGAAGACGGAGATAAAGACAAAGGGAATACCACATCGGGTGGACAATTCTTTCCCAGTCACATTCGACAACATACTACTCACTATGGCAAAGACAGACTGAAGATGTCGATGTTAACACTGAAGGTAAGTTTCTTTGTATTCATCCTTAGTTATAATTTCTAGAATGTTGGCATTATGTAGTATTTTGAAAAGTATGCAAAATCTGGAGGTTCAAAATGTTCAGTTTTATATGTTTAATGAGTATAGAGAATGCTATACCATTGTTATTTAACTGTAGACGTTCTCATTGTGTGGCTCAAAACACTAATCTTAAAGTGGCCTACAACAAACCTTCCTACTGTCTTTGACATAACTCAGAATATGTTGGACTCTGAAGAGTTTTATTTTACCCGACAGTTTTTGATGAAATTATACACTGAGAATACTCCTTCGCTCTTCTTCGTGTTTCTTATGTATAGTCTTGATATAGTTGAAAAGAGTATTCACAGTTTACTCAATATGAAATATCCAAAATTAAATAAATAACGTTGTATAGTATTTCCTCAAAAGTACAACTATAATTAATATGTGGTATAATGGTTTCCGAGATCACGACGAACAAAAAGTTAGGCCCAACGTTATACAAAGGAACACATAAGAAATCTGCGGAATAAATCCTGATGCTTGCATATATGAACTCAACGAAGTTAATGCTTATTTTTCATGAAAATGAAATTAAATTGTTATTCATATTCATTTTGTGACCTTTGATGACCTTTTGCTATATATTTACCGTTGACGTGCGTCGTCTGTTGGTTGTAAACTTTTGAACATTTTTAACTACTAGCTAAATTCAATATATATCATCCATGAGTAAAGGGGAACGAAACTGCAAGTTTTATGGTTTCTGTCTCCCTAGTGCCTGGGGGATGTGGATAAAATCATCAAGAATAATGCAATCTTCAAAAATCCTAGACATCTAGCAGAAAACATGAGTAATAAGCAATAAGCCCTTTAACAAAATTGTGAAGTTCCATGATACAGGGTTTAGGCATCAGGTCCTTGTAGGGCTAAGTGTGATATTGAAAATGCATATTTTACAGGGTTTTTTTTTCTTTATTCATGGACATCTAAGAGGAAACTGTATGGCTATCATGAGTACTTAAATTGTTAGCAAAATTATAAATTTCATGGTCCCTAGACCAATGGTTCAGACCCCCTGGGTAGGACTATGATGGAAATCTGGAAAATATGGAAAGGGCATTACACCTTGAATTACTTTTTTTACTTGGACATGTAGTAGGCATATTGAAGAGCTAGACTTCAAATAATCCTTTATAATATTCACGTCCTTTGAGTTCTGTCATTAGGTTGAGGATGAGAGGATGAGTTGATCATGTATGACGTTTATTGCTGCATGCAGACCCGTAAGAAGAAATTTCAGTTGTTTTTTTTTTGGGGGGGGGGGGGGGACCAAACCAAACATTTTCAGCTTTGGGGGACGCTATCATTCAAGGAAAAATTCTTTGACAAGCAAGAAAAAAAAATATAAATAAAATGTCATCAGATATTATTATTGAGGGGACACAAGCATAAAGTAGCTATATTTTTATAGTATACTATATATCGGCAAATTATTGGGGGACGCCCCCTTCCCCAGTTCCTACGACCCTGTATTATACATTGTACCTAATCTTCTTACTCCTGGACTTCCAGAAGACAAGCATCAAATTACAGAGTCTCCTCAAACCGTAACATTTTTGTGTTTCAGTTCAAGGTGGGACTAAATTGGTAAAAGACAAGCTTTTCAGCTGATATTTAAGGCACATGGGCCTCTTTTTTAAACATAAAACTTTGATGTGTCAGTGCTAATTTTGACGAAGGCTTTGGTGTGTCAGACTTTACCTTGACAAGGGGATTTGGTGTACCAGACCTTACCTTGACGCATGGTTTTGATGTGTCAAACCTTACTTTAACATGGGGATTTGATGTGTCACACCTTACCTTGATGCAGGTCTTTGCTGTATCACAACTTACCTTAAAGGGCGTTGCTATGGTGTGTCAAAGCTTATCTTGAAGGGCGTTGCTATGTTGTGTCAAAGCTTATCTTGTCACGGGGCTTTGATGCATCGGACCTTACTAAGACACGGGACTTTGATGTGTCAGACTTTACCTCTGGCTTTCATTGTCAGAGCTTACCTTGAGGGGCGGGACTTTGGTGTGTCAAGCCTATCTTGACTCGGGGCCTTGAGCTTACCATGACGCAAGGCTTTGATGTATCAGAGCTAACCTTGACAATGGGCTTTGATGTGTCAGAGCTTACCTTGACTCGGGGCTTTGATGTGTCAGAGCTTACCATGGGCTTTGATGTGTCAGAGCTTACCTTGACTCGGGGCTTTGATGTGTCAGAGCTTACCATGGGCTTTGATGTGTCAGAGCTTACCATGGGCTTTGATGTGTTAGAGCTGACCATGACTCTGGGCTTTGAAGTGTCAGAGCTTACCTTGACTCGGGGCGTTGTTGTGTCGGAGCTGACCATGACGCAGGGCTTTAATGTGTCAGAGCTAACCTTGACAATGGGCTTAGGTGTGTAATAGCTTACTTTGAGGGGAGAGGTTTTGCTTTGACGCATTGCTTTGATGTGTCGATAAAAACCATTCTTTACACGGCTTTGATATGTGTCAGACCTTATCTTGACGCAAATCTTTGGCGCATCAGAGCTTATCTAGAGCGGGGCTTTGGTGTTCTAGGTTAGAACGACTCGTGAAAATCACTCTCTCATGTCATGGGATAAGTCGCTGCCCAGATTTTATTCGACCATCCGCAACACAGGGTGTGCTGAGCTGTAGCCCATGTCATGTTCTAAATTTTGATTTTACCCGGTGGGTGTAAATTAATACAAAATAATGACGCTTGAATTGAAGAATTTTAATCTGCACTCCGAGGAAGCGTTTCACATAAGTTTAGTCCTACGGGTCCTCACATGAAGATTTTCAATTGACTTAAACCTTATATTATACTTATTTTAGTTACTATAGTACTTCTCATTTTGAAGGACATTTGCAATATGCAGTCTAATTTAAATAATTTTAAATATCCTTTATCCAGTGCCATGTTTAGATCCAACAAAATATTTTAGAGGTTCTGAGTGTGAACAAAGAGATGCCTCTCCCTATATATCTTACTTTTTTTAAAAGGAGATGGGTGAACATGACGAGCGATAAGCCTATAGTGTGACAAACATGAAGATGAAAAATTAAATTTCAATTATATCAAAATTTTCCTTGATATTTCGTCTAACATTAAAATATACTTTATGTAAAATCTCTACAATTTGCAAAAATCCCTCAAAGATTGAAGTTATTTGCCTGTGAAATATTAGACACACACTAAAGCGGGCAAAAGGAGTCATTTTCGCACACTATAACACTATTTTTCGATATGAGTGGGTCTTCGCTCCACCTTTTTGAAAGTTAATCCTCAAAGTTTGCATAAAAATATACATTGTTTGGTTACCAAAAATATGGAGCAATGACCCACTATACCTTAAAAATATACTTTTATGACATAATATTCGCATCTTTTCGAGAAATACTTGAAGTCCATTAAGGTCAGACGACACGTTACTCAAATATATGTTTTGTATACCTTGGTATTATATCAAAAATTATTCATAACTGTCATTCTCTTGTGATTTCTTAATTGTTTTCAATATGTTTTAAAAAATAAGTACACCAGAAATTGTAACATTGGCAATTCAAAAGATTACCTATATGGATTATATAGGAAATATCACCCTCTGGTATCTTGCCCAAATGCCTGGTAAGGTACCTCAATTTTTGGTGAGGAAACTTGTTTAAGTAGCAATACTTCAATGACAAATTCTTGGGAAAAATTATATATTTTTGAGGAACGTGTCGTCTGACCTTAAGTCAAGGGTCATATCACAAACATGATTTAAATGCCACCGTTCGTTAGGACTTGTGTAGTCTAGTGGTAAGCGTGTTAGTCTCGCAAGAAAATGATACTCAGGATTTTTATTGCTAGGGTTCGAACCCCACGAATACCACATTAATTTTTTTTAATAAAAGAATAAATTTTGCTGAGAAAATTTTCCTTAGAAAAGTTTTGTTTATCACAATTACATAAATTTCAATATGAGAATTTTACTCTAAATATTAAATTCACAACCTGAACATGATTTTTATATTTCTGAAGCTATAGGCTTTCTGCACGCTATGTTCGCCCATCTCCTTTGATTTCATTTTAAACGTTAGTTTCAAATTACATGTATATTTGTATTTTATGCGATTTAAAATTAGTTCACTTCTATTAAACATATAAGCATATTATGTTTTATTAAAAATTTGTGCCATTTACATTGACTTAAGACAGAGAGTGGATTGGTACACTACACTTATAATTTATGAATATATATATATAATGAGTAAATATGGGTTTCTTGACGTAAATTACGTATGTAGTATTTTAATTTTTTAAAAATTTAAAACGAGATTATCGATTTATTTATTCTTTTAAAAAGTGTTGATTAACGGAAATCAATATACAAAATTGAGGCATTTAAGTGCTCAATTTATTAAAGTCTACGCTTAAACGTCAAATCATTATGAACATTGAATCTAAATTATTGATCAATACAACCGACAAAAAGATTTTAAAATTGATCATTACAGGGTTTATTTTATAATTGATAGCTTCCATAGTGTAATTTAAAAAGATTCCCAATACAAACAGTTCGCTGTTGAATTATCCTATTTACATGTCAAGAAACTAAGTTTCTTACTTGCAACCTGTTAAGCTCATGAAAGTTTGAACATAAAATCAATAAAACGAGCTTATGGCACGATATATTTTTATTCCTTATAAATAGCGCTTAGGGTAATCTACATTAGTACAGAGTACATGGGAAATCACAAGCCGTCTTTACAGGGACAAGAGATCAAAAGCGGATCACCATTGAAATCCGTCGGTGGGCAATAAGAATTCCACCACTAGCTCGCTCCCTGATTGATCAGGTTGATTCGGTGTTGCAAGGGATTTACTTATTTTTAAGCCCCCATGTCAACGCAGAACTAATTATGTTGTGTATCTGTTGTCCCGATTTCTCTTTTGATAAAAACGAAGAGACAAAGTGTAAATAAACAAAACAAAGAATTTTGGGAAGTTATCATAGTGTAACTGTGTAAATACAGCCTAAAGAATATAAGAAAGGGTTGTCTTTTAAAAGTGGTTGGCGGTATACATGTATTCAGTGTATATTTATTTTGATGCTCAGTATCTGAGAATGGTAATGTGAAATGTGTCATGGATTCATGAAGAATCAAATAACATGGACCTAGATCGCGGAACTTGTGTAAACTGATGTAAAGTTTGGAAAATTATGTACTGGTTTAATTCATCGTGAGTGGAAATTTCGGAGGAAATGTCTACATATTCTCCAGAAACAAGCCCTCGAGCACCCAGCCCAGTGACTTTTCGTAAAAATCGCAAAACGGACAGAAGTTCATATATTCAGAGATGGAAAGTTCTTCAAGACCGTAATAGAAATTTACCGAAAATCGATTTCGGAGTTAAAGCTCAAATTGTTCCTAAGGTAGGAATAGATAAATGATAGATAACAGATTCACTTTCAAAATTCAAACTTAAATACATACATAAAATTTGAAAAAAAAAAGAATGGGTTCCGTTATGTACTTTTTGCTTGGCATTTGCTCCATTGTGGTCATATCTAATGTCAAAATTTGAATCTCAAACTTAACACAAGATCTTTTCAAAGATGCATGAATTGGTACTTTAAATATTTACTTTGTTCTCGTGAATGCAAGGTTGTAGACTGTGATAATATCAAGTCGTTTACAATTCAAACATTTGACAGAATTCGCGTGCTCCTTAACACGTGTGTAGTCAGAAAAGAGTTTTAAAAGTGATTGTTCAATTTAAATAGGAATTTTTATTCTTGTGTGGTGTACCCAAAACTCCAGAACTTTAAAAATATACACACTACAGTATGTTTTTAAAGATATTTAGCAGACAGTTTTACATAGAAATAAGAAGGGTGCTGTGGGGTTTTATAAGTTTTTTTTATGAAATTCTTCACAATGATCTACTTGGCTTTGAAAAGTGTATAGTTGAAAGATCTTAATTCATATAATTATGCACACAAGTGTCTCTTGGTTAAGTTTAAGTGTTTAATGTTTTCAAAACTAGTTAAAAAGCAATATTTGTGGAATCCTTTCATAACCAGCCTCTACGAATAAGATGAAAAAAACTGTAATAATGAAAGCAGTCAGGTTTAAATATACTTGAAAATAATAATATAGAGGATTATAATGAGAACGCGGGGAACGCAAACGGTAGACGACATAAATTTTCGTGAGACTAGTATTGAATTATACGACGGGAAAAGAAAGATCCCATTTCTGGTAGACATACACATACCCACCACACTATTTTTGTTAAGTTTGCTTGCTTTGAAAACATTCTGAATACTTTCAGAGACAGAACAAGTCCGTTGGGATTGGTGCCCGCTCCCTGACGTTGGACAGTCTAAAGTTACCGTCACTCTGCACGGCCTCAAGCGTCATCACTACCTCAACAAACGCATCGGGTTCAGTGGCACCTAAGTCTGATGTCGTCGCCAACACTAAAAAGACTGTCGGGATCCAGGTAATTAATTTTATCAGTAAATAATTTTAATGATATACAAAGATTGCTGTTTTTGAGGTAAATACGATGGTTTTGCTACCCGAGGAGAATTACATTCACCAAGTCCGAAGGGCGAGATAAATATTGTACTGAGTTTTACACTCACCAAGTCCGAAGGGCGAGATAAATACTGTACTTCAAATGCTGCTAAATCACTGTACTTGTGTTGAAAAAAAATGTTTTATTACAGGAATTCAATTATTAAATGATACAGACTCGTTCAGCAATTTTCGCCATCTTTCTTGGTTGCTTGATATTATGTCTGCTGAATTCCGAACACAGTAAGAAGCATAGGTTGTCATTAGACGACAAAAATAAACATCACCAATCGTATCAGTTTGGTAGTTTTCAATCTATTATGGTGCAGAGTAAAAAAACAAATGTGATAATTACCAAAAGTTCGGGTGCAGATACAATGTAAATATTAACTTTTTATGGTTTCTTGAATGTTGCATTTCAGCCAGTCAGGGAGCTAGGAATCATTCAAATCATACATACAATGTTTAAAAAAGTAATACATTTATGTTCTTCATATTTATATGCACATGAGTGCTACAATATAGAATCTACTGACACTAGATTAATTTATGTATGGGGAGGTTCATCTTTTCCCTCTTCAGAATGAAAATCTGACTGAATTAATAGGTTTCGAATTAATAAGGTTACTATATTTCAAAAACTATATTTATAGGAATTTAAAAACTCGAGTGTAATCCGGTTGGCGGGGCTGTAAAGTTTATTTTAATATATTTACATTTGCAAATGTCTTTCCTTATATTACAATACAAATTAAATTGACATTCAATTTTCAATGACATGCAGTTGGTCATGTGATCAGACTTTCTTGCGTATAGAAAGCAAACTGCGAGAGCCATTTGGAAAGTTCCGACTGTGACGTCACGACGTCGTAGGTACGTTATGTTGCATTTTCATAACAAAGACTAAATGGAGCGTATTTTTCTTTGTAATACGAATAAATATAAATATAAGAAATAAAATATCATTTTTTTTTTTAGAGTTTCATTGGGATATATGACATGAAGTTGGTACGTGATCAAATCTACTATAACGCTCTTCGGGTGTTATAGGATTTGATCACGTGACCAACTACATGTCATATGCCAATGAAACTCAAAAAATGATATCTTTTTTCTTAACCAAGGTTTAAGGTTTTAGGTCTCCGCGTCGCAACCCCACAAGGAAGCTTGTAAGGTTTCCCCTCTCTCGGGTTCAATAGGTTTTGTCATCAATTATTTAAACATACAAAATATGAACATTTATTACATTTTTAACAGTGAAATACTGTGATTTATTTATTGAATAAAAGTGATATTCTCTCACAGTGTGAAAGGATACCAAAATGATATTCTCTCACAGTGTGAAAGGATATCAAAGTAAGTAAAAAATAATTTCTGGCCTGTCATAAGATAGAGATAGTAACCAACCATCTTGATAGAGTTAAAAACTGCAAATTTCTTCACAAATATATTGCTAAAATCCATGCTATGTAATGTTTTCAATCTCACAACTGGTCAGCTATGACGTCTCAATCGCTCGACTATGACGTCAAGCCTATGGCACTGTGAGGCAAAGGGAAAATTTTTTAAAAAATGTAATAAACAGAAAATTCAATGTTTTGTAGATGAATATGGAATGTATTTCACTCATGAGACAGGATTTTTTGATATTTTCACTCGTGCTTCGCACTCGTGAAAATATAAAAAAAATCCTGTCCCACTCGTGAGATAAATTCCATATTCATCTACAGAACATTGAATATCCTCTATATATTTTTTAAAAGGGTTTATAGAAGCTTATGTAGCCACGGAGTTGTGAGCTGTTACTATTTATCAGTATTTGTTTTATTTACGAGACTGTAAAGAATAAAATGCGCGGGCTTCCCGTAGAATTTCTCATTTTCTTTATATAAACAACTCGTAAAGAATATCAAATTTTTGTTCTAAATAGCTTTTGAATCAATTATTAAACTTTTCTTTTTACATACTAAGTGCAAACCTCCAATTAATCAAGATCTAAAGTGCCATATTTTATTAAGAACCTCACAACTACATATGTATGGTAATATCTTGTGATGCTAGGGATCATGCAATAACATACCAAGAATATAATACCTTTGTACATATAAAACGATCTTTGGGATCTCCTGGCTATAAAACATTTTATTGGTTCGTGAAAGTGATCGTTAACCAAACTCGCCAGAAAGGTGTAAAATATTTCTGTTGCTGCATGTTCATTTGCCTTCCAATCTGGCAGATTGAACCGAGAACTGAATTAACCGAGATCTCGCCATAATAACTTCTTGATTTATTGTACTGTTGAGCGTCTAAAAATTGACGTTTTTTCACGTTTTTTTCTCTAAGTTGATACATTTTACGGTGGTTTATTTTTTTCACATTCACTTAATTTCCCTTTGCCAAGTATTTGCAATTTAAAAAAAAAAAGAGAGTTGTGGTAAATCTCATGTAGTAGCTAACATTTCACCGTCAGTATTATTAACCCGGGTTTCCTAATGATTTTCAGTGATTTACAATTTAATATTACGCAATAGGAAAACAGAATTTTAAAGTGTACTGCGCGTATTTGATAGAATATGTCGACATTTTCACCGTAGCTTAATGTTTGCGGAAAATTTTTATGATCGCAAAATTAAAACGCACTGTACTCCATGTGTACTTTACGGTAATATCTGCAAGAAAGCCCTTGCAAATACTTTTGATTATTACTTAAATCAATGTTTAAATATGTTCAAAGGTGACGATTCATTTTACGAGATGGAAATACGGTGAAACACAGGTGAATTGAACCAAAGATTTCTATTTCTTTTGCTTGCAATTAGTATTTTAGAAAGCCAGTTGTTTTATGTCGTTGATATTCGTTGGTGAAGGTTATATCTTGTTTTAGTCTTTAGCCAGCTGTTTTTCTCACTATTTATGCTTTTTAGCTACTATAGCAGTCTTTACTATATATTAGTAGTTTAGATTAAGGTACATTTAGTACACAATTAGAAAATCATTCTTTGTTGCCTTTTTCTGACAATTTCACAGATACTGTTAAAGCCAACTGTATACAATATCATCAATCACCACAAGTTCAGAGTAAACGTCAAGGTATCGTGGAAAACCAAACCCTTACCATTCCACTGATCTTAACATTTTAAAATTTCTAATAGATGTAGAAAGTGCTGATTTTGATACTCGAAAACCTCATAACTTTGCTACTGGAACTCTGCATGTTTCTTTATTTTATTTTATTTTTTCTTACAATATATCACCGTACTGTGGTTAATTTTATTTACGATTTCTAATAGATGTACATGTAGAAACTAGAAAGTGCTGATTTTGATACTCGAAAACCTCATAACTCTGCTAATGGAACTCTGCATGACTCTTTATTTTTTTTATTTACAGTACATCATTGTACTACGGTTAATTTAATTACAAATAATATTATTATATATGAATATATTAAATGTCAGTAAATTTAATTTTTGTTATTTTATTTTTCTTAGAATTTGTTCGTATAACGTATTATTTAGCTAAAACTAAATCCTTAATAGTTAATCAATGCTTCTTAATTAACTACAGTAAACCATGCATCAAAACTAATAAATATTCAATTCTCTTTGTAAAACATGGTATTACTAGCATATTATTGTATATGTCACCCATTTAATATTCATTTTTTCCTAGAAACCACGTTGTTATTGAACTTTTCCATGCTATAAAAATTCCGTTTAATTTATGAAGCTTTTTTGTGACAATACTTTAAAAAGTTGAAATATTCAATCTTCCAAATTTTAGCAGTTGTGTATAATACATATTTTTTTTTCTGCAGGTAAAAGATAAAGAAAAGGATCTAAGTAGCTCTTTATCGAGATCTTTACCAAATATAGCTACAGCTGTCCAGAATGACTCTAAGACTTCCTCCAAGCACAGATTTGAGAGAATTTCTTACAGCAAGAAACTGCAGACCAGGAGCGTGGAGAAGAAAGAGAAGGATGAGGAATCGACAACACAGCCCCAACAGGAGCTACAGGAGCTCGAGAAATCCGGTATATACCATATTGACTTAAGTAACCTCACAGGTGTAGTTCATATTCAAAAAGACATTCAGACAGAACGGTTAGATAGGAGCGAAATCCTCCAAAATCGCTCCATGTCCACCATTCGTGAAAACAGTCCTTACTCGGCCAGAAGTAGCTCTGATGTCAAAAAACGACTGGAAAATGACAAAATTGGTCGGCGTAGCCGAAGAAAGAAATGGAAAGACAATTGTAAATGTATGAGATGTGAAATCATGAAAAGACAGTTTACTGAAGGAGATGATCATTATTCAAAATGGGGAATATATCCCTGCCAACAGTTAAACCGGAAGAAATACTTTAATCAGTATTTTTATGACAGTGATTAGACCAACTGATCTATAAATAAGAAATATCATATTTACAATTAATATGCACCACAAGCCTAAAATAAAAGTGTTTAATCCATGATTCATGAAGTAGTATATCTAATTGTTCAACTTTTAACTTCATCCCGAATAAATCATTTTCAGATTATTTGGCAATGTTATCTGGGCCAATGCCTAAATTTAATTGTTTGTAGTATCATGCAGCCTACTTTCAAATTTCAAAATACTAGTGACACAAAAAGGATTACAACTTCATACGGAGAAAATTAATCTTATACAAAAGAATTATTAAAGTAATCCGTAGTTATTAAATGTATTATTGGATAACATTGAATGTTTCATAATATGCAGGCATTATATATCAAGAATTACAGGTTCAATCGTCTCATTTGTTCTAAATAATGTTTCTTGTTTACTGTTAATAAATTACTCTGTTTCAACATAAATGGAAAGTGTTTGTATTATTTGAAATTTTGAGATATAATCACACCAATGTTAATCAAACAAACACTAAAACACTTGTTCTGCACTTCCACAAAAATTATTGCTTACGATTGCATGTTTGAGTGTGGCGACACCTTTACTAATTACCTTTTTAATTATTTCAGATTCCTGACTAAGAAATTGTGTGATCCCAGAATCACTAGTACTTAGTAATCACTAGGAGTGATCCTCTAACACTAGCCAAGTGTGAAGACAAGATGTTGTCACAGACATTTCCTCCAAACTTGGTGCTAACAAAGAATGCGAAGGAATAATCTTATCGAAATTCTGTTTAGTTCTTTATGAAACTGCACTGTGATTTTCTTTTATTGTAATTCATGTACTTTTAATATACATTAGTACGGGGGAAATGTCAAACTGTGTCGGAATCAAAGAAGAAGAAGGATTTTTAATTTAAATTTCATTGCCGTATTATTTCAGAGAATTAACATAGAGTTGTGAATATGATTCCAGTTTGACTATTTATGGTTATCTCTCAGTGGTAGATATAAATCAATGCTTCATCAATTCTCTTAAATGTGTTAACATTTTCTTTTTTACTTGTTCAAGATTCAAGAGGATTTCATTGTAAATCAAATGTTTACAATTATTTTGGAGGATTTAACTATATGCAATCGACTGAAGAAAGCCAATAAAAACAAAAACTGACTAGTAATGTTTATAATGTACATTTTCCTTCAAAAATACATAGAAGTGTTCCATACAAAACACTACAATATATACTGACTAAATTCTTTACATAGTATAGTTTATATTTTGTGTCTGAGTGTGAAAGAAAGAGAGAGAGAGAGAGAGTAATTGTTGCTCTATGTAGATTGTCTCTATAGCAGACACGTAGTAGCCCCCGTTTTTCGAAATGTTGACTTTCACTATTGAAAATCTTCACTGAAAGTCCGCCCCCTCCACTTTTTGTTGCATTGTTTAAAAAGTTGGGACCTATGCCCCCACTACCACCATGAAATACGATTTTTAACTGAGAACATTATTTCCTTTTTTTGTCATGGATTTTTCAGGTAAGTTGTAAATTTTTTCTGGGTCCCCTTCCCCACTTTCAAAACGATACTATGTGCCTGTAGAGTCACGAGTAAACCGCAATGCAATAACTTAAATAAATCCCAATAACATGGGAAAACCTGACAGATTACATGGATGTTGTGTAATGGGTGTGCTTCTTTTTAACTTTAGTTTGTATAGGAAAACCATTTTATAGAAAATATAGGTGTTTTTGAACACACAATGTACAGAATGTTTTTCATGCAAAGGAGCTAAAAACGCAAAGAAGCAAATAAGACATTTACTATGGCTAATATGTTGACTCAGGAAGCCATCAATTAATTCCTTCGATCGCTTCTACCCAGACACGCCTTCTTGTAATGCAAAGTCAAAAGAAATCAAACAAATGGGAAACATGCTACATGTACATTATGTACATGAAATATTTCTTAACTGAATGCAGGAATTGTATATTTGAATTTTAAGAATCTGTGTAAAAAGTTTTGTGAAAAGAAGAAACTAACAATGAGCTCCATTCTTTAAATTGGTCACATTCTTAGAATAGAGAATTGGGGTGGTTTTAAAAACATACATGGCATTAAATTCAGAAGCTTGAAAACACCCTGTAGTATTTTTAAAACTGTTCATCTTTCATGCACATAGATTACAATTACATAATATAAATTAAATTCGTTTGAAAAGATAGCAATATTTATCTGTGATGTATTGCAATTATATATATATATATATTTTTTTTTCAAATGTCTTTTTTAACACTTTACAAATGAACCATGTACTCTTATAAAGCCCTCCAAGTGCTCTGTTCAGTGTACACAAAACCATCTCGTTGATTTCCATAACGAAATTGGTTGAATATGCCATTCACCTCCTTATAACGTCAATTCGGGATCTTCATTTTCAGTTTTTAAAACTGAAAACGAACGATTCTTAAGGATGAAAAACAAAACAAGATCTGTATCTTTGAACAAAGCATGATTTAAGTTTTAAATAATAGTTTTTAAAGAATTTAAAAAAAAAAATTCAATACTAACAACAACGTAACTGTCACAATTTTATTCTTTGAAACATTTGTAACATGTAAATGCATCTTTAACCAAATCAATATATTTTACTGCATTCCCTGTTACTGCTGAGTACTATTCTGGATTTTTTCATGTAATATCGATAAATTTTGTTCAAGTTGTTGTATTTGACTATTCCAGCTGCGATTTCTCATCTGTGCCTCTTTAACTTGCTTTTTCATTCGAAGTAGCTGGGCAGCATTCCTTTTCTAAATTATCAATATTTGGCACTGAATACACACGTATATGCCTGTCTACATAATTCTTCTCCTCATTGGTTAAATTAAAGTATATTTTTTCTTTTCCAACAATTTTCAAATTGATGTGTACTAGTAAATAAGAATACAAATATTACATTTGCATGTTTGGCAGAATATATTGTGTTTTCATCGCTTATACTAGTATAAGCCAACATACTTCAAGAACTTGAAGGCTCTTTTGCACATTTTCTTGTCTTTTCATCTCAAGCGAAATCTTCAAGAAAAAATGATAACATTTAAAAAATGGAAGGGTGCTGTTTTATAGAGCTGATTGGCAATCAAGATAAGAATTCAATATAAAACGTAGTGCAGTATAAATTAATTATTCATCAATTTTGAAGTAATACTGCATGAGTAAATCGATTTTAATTTCCAGTAAAAGCGATTACATTTTTCTTTGAAGTATGGATAAAATGCACAACACGTTTTCTTACTTGGGACCGTTTTTCTGCAATCTGTCTTTCATCCTCTGATATTAATTTCTTAATTTCGTTTATTTGGTCCTCAATTTTTTCTTTAAAGTTACTAAAATTTTCTTCGCATGAGGCCTGTAGTGGTAAATTGTTTTCTAAAAATAGACAACTTTCAACTTAAAGATTGCTATTACAAACTAGGAACCATACTATGTAAGTTTATTCCGTGTTCATTTATATGTAAGACGTGAGATTATTTATATATTAGATAGCTTTGTAATCTTATTCGGTTGTCACTCACTTTGTTGTTGTAGGTGCTCTATACATTCCTTTGTCTCCGATAACTCTTTCATCAGATCTGAAGAGGCCTCGCAACTCTGTACACTAATTTTGTAGTCTTTCATTTTATCTTCATAGCTCAATATCGATCTAAGCCAAACATGGTGAAAAAAAATATTTTATCTTAAATATCTTAATTTGAGGGGAAATAGGAACTGGGATGAATATCTAAACCCTTTCACAATTCGCTCATGCTACATATTCATTGTAAATTGCAGTGAATAAATACATCCTCCTAATCAGTTTTACAATAAAAATATCAACAAATAACCAAATTAACTATATACTTTCATCTGAATATTTTAAGCTTGCTTACTTGTACAAATAACCAAATTAACTTTATACTTTCATCTGAATATTTTAAGCTTGCTTACTTGTACAAATAACCAAATTAACTTTATACTTTCATCTGAATATTTTAAGCTTGCTTACTTGTACAAATAACCAAATTAACTTTATACTTTCATCTGAATATTTTAAGCTTGCTTACTTGTACAAATAACCAAATTAACTTTATACTTTCCTCTGAATACTTTAAACTTACTAACTTGTACTCCTCATCTAAGTTGCTTTCAGAACTTTGCATTTTTCGATTCAATTTTTCAACTTCAGCTATGATTGCGTCATTATCTGCCAACATTTACATGTTGAAAATATAATCAATATTTATTTCAAATTGACAGATTTCAAAGCTAGATGAGTTTAATACCTTCAAGAAAAAAACCCTTACCTTTGAGCAGTTTAGAACACGTCTTTTGTTTCAAAACGGAAGATTCTTTTGTGAAATAAATTTTTCGATCAACTGAAGAAATGTCTTGCAGAACAGCGTCATTCTTGTTCGCAGCTGAAATTTGGTTATCTAATTATCTCAGTTATACCATCATAGAGTTTACTAAAGAAACTATTCAATTGATATCGTATGAATTATGTTGCCAGTATCTTTGGATAAATAATGACTGCACTCACGACGTACGAAATTTGCGACAAAATAAACTTTCAATTTATTTACAAGAATGTTCATAATATATATATGAGAGAGAGAGAGAGAGGATACATATTTTGTATTTACATGGCATCGTTTCCCTAGATTTTGTTTAGATTTATTCTTACAATATCAGATCCACCTCAAATGCATATTAATCAACCTAATCTCCAATCAAGAGCAGGGAAGTTCTCGATATGCAAATGCTGAAGAGGCAATTTTTATTGTTCGATAGTGTTAAACACATCTAATTATATACTAGTAGACTTGAATGACAAATAAGATTTACTCTGTACTCTTACCTTCTTTTTCCTCTTCCTGTAATTAGATAAAATATTATGTAAATTCAAACTATCAGAAGTGTGCCGTGTGTATATTACTATTTCAGCAAACAGTCAAATTTCGGTAGGATCTTTTTAAAGGTGCTTAGACACAGATTTAAAGTTAATATTTACTCAAATTTTCTGTATAATTTCATGACTTATATGTTTGCTATAGCATTTCATACGAAAATTTGATAAAAATCTTATTTTATCTGGAAGTTATTGAAACTTCGAATTTCTGGACGCGTTTGATAGACACATCCTTGCACTTTCACAAATTTTAACTTTATCCTTATTACTTTAGAAAAGTAGCTTTGTCTCCCGAAATTCGTAGTTTCAATAATTTCCAGATTAAAAAAGTTTTTAATTTTATTTTCATGTGAAATGCTGTAGCAACATATAAGTTGTGATATCATACAGAAAATTTGAGAAAATATAAACTTCAAATCTGTGTCTATGCACCTTTAAACGAACTACTTTTTAAAAACAATAAATATGTTTTTCCCGTCTCTTAGTTATTTGCAGAAACCCCTAAACAGTTGGATTACCGAGATACAGTCTCATATTTTTCATTGTGGGAAAAAAGCATATGGGGGTCTGAAATGCGCGATTTTATGCCGCGTAGTCGAAGATTCGATGGCATATAGTTTTTGGTCTGTCCGACTGTTAATCCGTTTGTCCGCAAAAACATAACTTTAGAACTATTGGTGCTAGGGCTTTCATTTTTTCACATGCGTATTCCATATGACATTTCTTAGGGTACCTTGGAGATTGACCTTCATTTGAAAAATTTTATTACCATAACTTTTGCACAATTGGAGTAAGGGTTTTAACCTACTTTCGAAAAAAAATCATCTTGGCCATAATGTTTAAACGGTTGGTGCTAGGGTTTTCGTATATCACATGTATATATTCCCTGTGACAAGACCTTCCTTTGGGTACCAACATTTTTGATCTCCTGACCTTGATCTTTGAGTTTGACCTAAATTTGTAAAAACTCTAACTTTGCCTATAACTTTTGAGTGGTTGGTGCTAGCGCTTATTTCACTTATGTATTTCTTGTGACAAGACCTTTCCTTTTGTACCAATATTTTTGACCTCATGACCTTGATCTTGGAGAAAGACCTACTTTTGAACAAATTTAAATCTTTGTCTATAACTTTTGATTTGTTAGTGCTGGAGCTTTTATATTTCAAGTGTGTATTCCTTGTGACAAGACCTTTCTTTGGGTACCAACACTTTTGAACTCTTGACCTAAACCTTGGAGTTTGACCTTCATTTGAAAAACCTTAACCTTGGCCTTGAGCTGCCATTGTGGCATCGGTGTTTCACAAACACATTTTAGTCTTCTTTTTTTTTTTTTGAACATTTGATGGATACACAAGAATGTATCTCTAAAACCGCAGATGAAAACCATGTTCTTTCCATAGATTTTCAACCTTCAATTTCAAGAAAACAACCCACCGTATACAACTTCCAAAAATTAAGAGCAATTATTTCAGATACATCTATGTACAGTCGTATCACTCACCAGTATAGAAGATAAACACTTTTCAAACTTTGCTATTTCATTATTATGTAATTTTTGCATCATCACAACCTCTTGAAATTCTTGAGGTAAAGTCAGTACATTTTCAATTGCTTTGTCAACCATTGCGCCTTCTATGTCCACAGAGGACCGATGTTCAGGGCTGTGAACTACAATAAAGAATTAAAATTTCTGAAATTTGTTTCTTGGTAGAAATGAGATAATATGTGTAACAATAACACTAATACTTACATGTACCGCTAGATGTGGCAGACATTGCAGACTCTGAAGACACAACTTGGTCGTTTTTCTGTCTCTGAAAATATTAGCGGGTATATCGCTTTATGCAAACACAATGACATCAATAATGGAAATCATATAATTGTAATACTATTATTTATCAATCAGAGTTACTTGATTTTTTATGCCCCCGTAATCGAAGATTCGGGGGCATATAGTTTTTGCCCTGTCCGTCCGTCTGTCTGTCTGTTTGTCCGCAAAAACTATAACCTTGCCCATAACTTTTGATTGCTTGGAGCTATGGCTTTCATATTTCACATGTGCATTCCTTATGACAAGACCTTTCTTTGGGTACCATAAAATTTGGCCTTTTGACCTTGACCTTGGAGTTTGACCCACTTTTGCTAATTTTTTTTCAGACTTTAACCTTGGCCATAACTTTTGAATAGTTGGTGCTAGGGCTTTCAAACTTCACATGTGTATACCTTGTGACAAGACCTTCCTTTGGAAACCAACAACCCTTTGACCCTTTGACCTTTACCTTGGAGTTTGACCTACTTTTGAAAAAACGTTAACCTTGGCCATAACTTTTGAACGGTTGGTGCTAGCTCTTTCATACTTCACATGTGTATACCTTGTGACAAGACCTTTATTCAGATACTAACAACTTTGACCTTGACCTTGGAGTTTGACCTACTTTTGAAAAACTTTAACCTTGGCCATAACTTGTGAACAGTTAGTATTAGGGCTTTCATACTTCACATATGTAATCCTTGTGACAAGGCCTTCCTTTGGATACCAACAACTTTGACCCTTTGACCTTGGAGTTTGACCTACTTTTGCAAAACTTTAACGTTGGCCATAATTTAAACGGTTGGTGCTAGGGCTTTCATATTTCACATGTGTATTTCTTGTGAGAAGGCCTTTCCTTGTGCACCATTAATTTTGACCAATTGAACTTGACTTTGATTTTTGACTTACTTTTGAAAATCTCTAACCGTTTCCATATCTATTCAATGGTTGCTGCTAGGGTTTTCATATTTCACAGGTATATTCCTCGAGACAAGACCTTACTTTGGGTACTAACATATTTGATTTGCATTTGAGAAAGTTTTACCTTTGTTATGAGTTGCCATACGGGGGCATCAGTGTTTCACAAACACATCTTGTTTTCAAATTGATAAAGTCCGTAACTAAGCAATTTTTTCGATTAAAGAAATGTAATTTTTTTAAACCTAGGATCTCACATAACAAGTAAAAGGAAAACTAAGTTTCTGAGGATGTACAAATTAAAAAAAAAAAAAAACCTGTTCAGTTCTGGCAGCAGTGGTTGCCGAGATCCCAATTTCTGCCTCACCCTCAGTAAAACATACTTTTTGTTTGTTAAGATCCAGTTTTGGACGGTCCCGTGAGGATGCAGATAAAGTTGGCATTGGTAAGATAACTCGACATAGTTGTGGGGGACTAAAAAAAATCACAGTAAAAAAAATGTAAAAATGTATTTAATATCATCATACATAAATGCAAGTGTGAATCCAAAACTTTTTTTCTGTTGTGTGTTTACGTGGGGTGAGGTTCATATATAAATCTGGTTTCAAAAAATGACTCAGTAAAATTATTCAACGGGGCAAGGGTTCCATTCAGATGACAAATTGCTCTCTGTTACTGTCTATCGTTGTGAATTGAATGCTGTGTAACGTGTGTAATTTTTGAACATTTTCATGCAGCTTCTTTTTTTTTTTTTTTTTTTTTTTTTGAAATGGACTGAACTATAACTTCTTCATTTTATACATCTTTAATTGACTATAAAAGCGAAAATTGTGAATTTCCCCCCCCCCCCCCCAAAAAAAAATCACCCTGAGAAGGCCAAAAAACTCTTCATTAGAGAGAAGTTGAAGATGCTGAGAAGGGCAAAAAGAAGCAAAGGAAGAAGGAAAGAACGGGTGATCAAGGGCAAGAGCACGATGTTCAATTAATTTATTCCAAATTTACATTAAAGCATAAAAGGATCAGGAACGTTAACACCCGGGAAGGAAGAAGTTGACCAACATCTGAGAGATGTTCATAGTCACCTCAGGAGAAACAAAAATGTAGGCAAGAAGCTACTAGTAATTCAAACAGCCAAACCGGAACATCTGTTCAATGAATCAGAACCAAAGCTGCGAGATGTTAAGAATGTTAATTTGGGTGGCTAGTATAGGATCTTCACCTGGACCAATCCAAATTCTATACAAAGCCTAGAACAGTCTGAGGTTGACACAACGATTATGGAAAAATTTGAGAGTCATTGGAGAGGGGGCTAGTTCACGAATAGTTGGCGTCAAGCTTAACTCAGAAGGATGCTTAATCGCAAAAGAGGAAAATTGGAGACAGTCAGTTCCGTACCTTATGACTGTTGATCGTTGAACAGAGACATTTTCTAGCGATTTAGAAATTTTAGGATTTTCTTTAACAGAATGAAATATGCAGATAACGAACAGTATTCAAGCTCAAAGTCCATTTAGGCAATACAAATCGGGAGCAGAGCAAACAGGGACCTTCAAAAACATTAGAGGTGGGATCAGGTGCCATGGAGGAGTAAGCATCCCCTGCCGACCGGTCACAACCGCCGTGTGCTCGTTGACACGATCGGGAAAACGGAAAAATCCGTACACAATTCAGTGTGTAAATAATGGCCTAACAATTAGTGCGAAAAACGTCAGTCAGCATTTGACTTAATGATAGGTTGTATTTGCTGACAAGGTCATTGTATCGGTCATAAAACTTGCGAATGCATTTAAGGTTCACCGTTAAGGACGTCACAACATCGTGACAACGCCTGGAGGGAGGAATCGTACACACAGTGCAGTATAAACAAACTCATTCTCGGCGTCCAGTAAGTTGGTGGAAAAGATGCATAGAGATCCATGGATAAGGGAAGATGTGAGGCAACCTCCACCAGAGCGATTATGAACGATACATAGTATAAGAGTCAGCACAAAGATCATTATCGAAGGAAGATGGACATTAAAAAAAGATTAAGAACCATCAATCAAGCCAACAAAGTCTAGGAGTCTTGTGTTGAAGATAGGAAGACCGAGTGGAGAGAAGTTCGAAATACTTCATCCATGCCCGTAGAAACCGGGGAGGGGGTTCGTGTCCCCTCCCCAATAATTTTACCAGTATATAATTTTCTATTGACAACAAAGGTAATTTCAAGTTGTGCCCCTTCAATATGATCTTGCCGGTTTATACATGTACTTTATATTAGAAAATAATTTCGTTAATTTGCTGTTATGTCCCTAAAAAATTCTGATAACCCCTCTTTTTTGGTTCATCAAGTATCTTAGGATACCCCCCCCCCCTTTGAAATTGTTTCCAATGGATGGGCCTGCCATCAAGTACTTTGATGACTCGCTGTGTGATGAGCAGAACCTGAGTGACACCAGCAAGCAACTTGAGAACTGGATGAGTGTCAAAGACAAAAGTGCTTTGCTGTCTTGCTCCTGTTTTGCACACATTTGAATTTCAATTATTGAAAAAATGTGTGCTAAACGGGAATTTGTTCAGGTAAGATAATTAGTAAACTTAATTGCTATATTTTATATCATAGTTGTGAATTTGGAGAAAGAAAATCTACGGAAAGAATGGGAATAAAAATGATTCATTTTGTATTTGATATTTTAATTTATTTCAGCCGTAATTTCACAAGACGAAAAAAATATTTTAAAACATAGAAAAATATCATAAATACTTATCAAAACTATAATTATATTCATGATACTAACTGATGACAAGGTCTTTTTGTTTTTCAGTAATTAAGATTGAATTGATTTACTCAATAGACATTTATTTTATCTTTATGAAAAAAAAAGTGAAGTGGGATAAGGATATTTGTCTAAATTATCAACTTTATCTTTAGTTGGGTTGGACAAGATAAATTTTCAAAATTTATTCTTTTAATATAGTTTTCGACTGGCCTGAATTTAGCAAGAGTTATTTCCCGTTGGCCGCCATATTGGAGGTCCATCGAGCGAATTTTCCTCTTTGAGCAACCATTTTTAAAATTTGTATGGCAGAAGTATAAGGGCAAAATTCTTTAAAATACTAAAATTACGAATAAAAGAAAGCTTCTGTTAACATAAATTCGTAAGAAAAACTGTGTTATCTTCACACAATTGCCCAGTATGACAAGTTTTATAAAGAATAGACGGAACTGATTTAACGCCATTACCGTAATTTCTATTTTCTTTTGTTTTAAGACAGAAATTTTCGTGAAAATCAATGGTCTAAATTATAAACCACCATATGCCATTATTTCGCCAATATCTTTTCGATATTCATGTTGTTTACCCTGGAAGAAGAAAATTATTTGTGGTTTGGTCCATCTCAAATGAGGTCGTCTGTATAAGTTGTCTACAACCGGATTTCGAACAAAGACACTAATATTTGAAGTGCTCGTATTTTTAATTTCCCCGGATTTTTTAGCTAAATTGAAATTGTTCCTTGCTTAACATGCTCAAAGCCTGCTGAAAAAAATGTCATTTTTTAAAGGTGTAAGTTAAGTTATAAGTTGAGTTTTAAGTTAACATAGAAATGAGAAAGAAGACCAAACTGGAAAAGGGAATTATCTACCTTTTATTATTAACTTCCTGTTATAGACGGCGCTGTGAGAAATTCGCCATATTTTCATCAATCATGCATCGAGGTGGATTCAACAAAAACGCTAATAGCAATTCTAGAAATGAAGCAGGGTAAATTTAACTGCATTTTTATGTAATAATATTCACATAGAATGTTGAAAAATTCATTATTATTTGCATTTCTGTTTCATTAAGTATTCACAATGCTACATGATCGGTACATGCCATGCCTTCTCGGAGAGCGTCAGTGCCTCTGGAACTGAAGGATTGTCGTTTTTTTTTTTAATTGATCATTAATTGGATGATGATTAATTCTTACAGGAAACTTTTTATTGGAGGATTAAGCTGGGATACAGATCAAGGTAAACTACAGTGTTTGAATTTGATTATCATCAAATCGTAGCTCATTTAATTCTTAAGTTATTCCCCTTTGTCGGCGTAATTATTTCTCTCCATATCCATTGTATAACATACCTGGAAATTTTTTTAACCTTCAAACACTTTTGTATAATTTTGTAACACTCTTTTATCGATATTATTGGGTAGTTAGAAAAATCTGTGTCTAAGGGGCAAGACCTCAGAATATGTCCAATAGCAGCAATGTAGGTTATCGGAGCAGATCTGCTTCAAAATGATTTTGAAGAATACAAAAAGAAATACACTGAAAATAACTATAAAATTCAGGGTTGTCCTTAAGACCTGGGTTTGGGTTTTTCCCCGCCTATAATGACATAATCCACCAGTTAATCTGGTACTCCCCCCTCAACCGATTCAACCCCTTGTTAGGGTATGAACCCCAGACCCCCTTCCAGGGGTTGAAATTTTCCTGGAAAACTCATTAGCCCAGGGGCTAGTGATCATTAAAAAAATGCTAGCTCAAACTAACTAGCCCAACATTTGTTTTATTTTGTGTTGAAAACAAATTAAACTAGTTCTCAGTTGAGAAATCAGTCTACATAGAAAACAAAAGTAAACTGATGAGAATTTTTTGGGCTGCTAGTCTGACAGATTATATTTACATTTAAATTAGCTAGCCCAAGTCTTAAAACAACTAGCCCCAGTTGTTGGGCTACTGTACATTTCAGCCCCTTTCTTCTACTTTTTTAATGTCTCCTGTTATTTCAGTTCTTATGAACAACCCTGAAATTAGTCATAACAAGCATTTTTGAGCTTGTGTATGTCTTTTACCCTTATAAAAAAAATCCATATGAAGACCAAAACTAAATCATTTTTTAAACAATTTTTTTTCTTGCTCCAAATGTACACTCCATCAAGAAATTCTCTGGATTATTCATAGAAAAAGTGTATATTAGAACTATATGCCCATGGCCTGTTTATTCAGCTACATTGACAACACACAGAACATATTCTATGGTTAAACCTGTCCTAGGTACATTATCATTTTAATGATAAAATGTTCTTCATAAGTATGCTGCAACATAGAAAACACAATGAACACATTCAGATGTCATTTTCAAGCATTGTCTGTAAAGTTTGTAATGAGTAAATGACACAAAATTGACCCTGCAAAAGGGTATTAACACTTGTCAATGTAAAAGTCAGTTGTTATTGTGCTGCTGAGTGCTTTGCTTTAACTTTGAATAGGTAAAGTGTAACAGATATTAAATTGGATTGGCCATACTTTCAGATTCCCTGCTGAACTACTTTAGTCAATATGGAGAGGTCATTGACTGTGTTGTTATGAAGAATCAACAGACTGGAAAGTCCCGAGGATTTGGGTTCGTCACATTTAATGATGCAGAGTGTGTTGACACAGTGTTATCTGCATCGCCACATAGCATTGATGGCAGACAGGTACAGACAACAGAACATGGTCTTAATTTATATCTAAGCACAAATCCCCAAAAAACAATTACCTAATGGAAGTTAACAATCATCTTTTTAAAAGATCAGTTAAGATAACTTCATAACCGACTGTCTTGAAAAATTTGCAAATTTAATAAAATTTACTTCATCTATGCTCTACTCGAGCATGTTGAAATGAATTTAGTGGACATAAAATAAGAGATTTGTAATGCTTTCAGGTTGATGCCAAGCCTTGCAATCCAAAAGCTGCAAACAAGGCAAGTAAAGATTTTTTCCCCCCAATTCATGTTTGTCCAGCAGAATATGGTTATTTATTTGAAAGTTGCATGTTAATACATGTATTTAGAATTACACTTTATTTTCAACAGGGCCCTAGAGAGGGTGGTGGTGGAAGAGGACATGGGGGAGGAGGGGGAGGAGACAAAGACAGGAAGATCTTCATGGGAGGATTACCTAATGTTGATGAAGACTTCCTCAGAAACTTCTTTGGAAAATATGGAAAGGTGGGGAAAAAAAGTTATTTAATGAAGAACTTTTCAAGTTGATCTTTAATCTGTAGTCCTTGATTATTCAGCAAATTTTGATGTGACAGCTAACAAACAATCTCCCTCTTTACAGATGAGGAGAAAAGACATAATAAAAAAGAAACACTTTCACAACATCCCATGCTAATTTATTAAATCTTCTGTAGAATTTCAGTTTATATTTTAATTTAAAAGAGCATTTAAGTCTAAACAAAAATATTGTCTTAGGGTTTTTTTTAATATAGATTTCTTACAAAACACATTTTTTTTTTATAAAATGCTAATTCTAATGAATATGTCTGTGTGAAAAAGTAAATGTTCTTTAATAAACTTAGCAAGAAAAAAGAAGACATTTCTTATTTGGTATACACTTAAGGTACAGTGTAGTTGTGCCATTATCTGTGAACATGGAAATAACAATGCTGGAGATATTTATTTTGTAAATCAAGTCACATGTATTATCCTAATAAAGGAGGAGGGAACAGATATTCTGAATCATTGAATATTTTGTAATTGCAGGTTTTAGATGTCAACATTATGATAGACCAGCAAAACAAGAAGTCAAGAGGTAAGAAAATAGTTGAAGGGGTTGTCAAACACCTGTAAAATTGTTCATCAGAAATAAAAAGGTACAATACAATTTAATTCCAGTAATATTTAGTCATAATTGTTTTAAGTATTTTAATTTATATGCTAATTACCATTGTATTTTTTACCTTACCATTTTTAATAAGTTTGTTGTAGATAAGTTTGATAGTCTTTGTAATTTAAGGGACTTTATTATTTATAATGAATTATTTAGTGTAAGAATAGTTTTAAGTAATATTTGTATGCCACTGATAAGGGCAAGGACACAGCGTACTTCAAAGCTTTATATTGCTGAAGTTCTGGCATTTTAATTACTTGGATCTTTGTATATATGTATGAAAAGTTAAAGTATTTTTTAAATGCATTTGAAGAAAAACTTGATAAGGTATAATACAATCTTTTTAGTAGTCAAAGTTGTTGTTATTAAAAAGCATTGTTCAAAAAGAGTCTTATTTGGGCCCAATTAAAAAAAAAAATTAAGATGCTGAATTTTACTGAGTAAAGTGTAAAATATCAATTGGAACCATAAGGGTACTTAATTTACTAAAAGTCAGTATTTCGCTAGTCTCTGCAATTTGATGTCATGAATTGCCTCAATGTTCCTATTTTATCAAATGTCTTCCAAAATTGCCAGTATCTTAAACTAATCTTCAGTATTTTCAAGAGTTTGACCTCTGATTGAAAGTTGAAATGTATATATTTGTAGGACTACTTGTAGTATTGATGCTCATCATATGCTTTATATTTTAGCTTGGGGTCTATGCTTATTTAAATCATTAGTGGACTGTATGTGATTTACTCTAATGTACATCTCTTTTCTGTAAAGTCCAAGAACTGTAATTTTATAAGCTTCATTATCAATTACGTTAACTCTCAGTACAAACTTATTTGTAATTAGTGAACAAATGCAGAATGTACTTCATTAATAATAATTGCTTTATATTTTAAGTTTGATATAGGATGACAAATGGTTTATTGGTACATGTATTTTCACTATATTGATTTGGACAATTGTGCACAAATATAGCACAAGGATATCAGATAAATTTTGTGTGTAGTTTATGATCATGACCTGTGTCAGTTGGATAGAATTTAATTTGATAAGTTTTTTTTAAACAAGTTTGTTTGCTTTTATATACCTTGCTAATTTCTTAAAAAAAAGAACAAGAATCCTATATATATTTTTTTTTATAATAACAGTTCAATTTGGTTAAGGTTTTTTTTTGTTGGACAGAATCCTAATGTACTGGTGCATCAAGAACTTGCAACAATCCTCAGATTAAATTACTGACACCAATGTAAAATTTGTATTTTGAGGCCTTAAAAAATATTTATTTGTTCTTGTCTGATCAATGTAAAAATGAAAAATCGACTCAAAAGCCCCCCCCCCCCCCCACCCTTTTCAAAACTTTTTTTTGGAAAATATATGAAAATCAAATTTTTATAGTAGTTGTTAATTATGTGTATAGTATACAATAATGCATGTATACAAGGGACAGTCTTTATGATGGTTTATTGATTGGTACATGTATGTCATAATAGAATAGTTTTAATAATATCTGTCAAATTTCTGTAATTGAGAACCAAAAAAGAAAAACACACAGAGAAATTTTTTTTTTTTACTCTTCTAAAGTTTTCTTCCCAAAGTTTTAAGTCTAGAAAATTTGAGAGCGGGCAAAAGAAGATATTTGTATAGATAGATTTAGGCCATGCATTGAGTAAGATTGAATAAAATTTTGAAGAAAAACAAGTACTGAAAAGATGAAAAATATTAGATCATGAGAATGTAAGGCAGCCATGTTCACTACGCCAACAAGATTTCAACAACTTAGAATATATAGAATGAAATGCAAAAGATTCAGTGGATCAGTATGTTTAGAGTAATACATTAAGTTTGTGTATGTTCAATTGTACATGCTTTGTGAGTATTTTTAAGCAAATAATATCCATGATAAGTTTTGAGAAATATAAAAAAAAAAAGCATATGATATGAGCATAAAGATTTTTTAAGGTTCTAGTTAATACATGTATATTATTTTTTCCCAGTAGAATGCCAGAATTTCAGTAATCAATAATATTATTAGACTGAAGTTTAGAAGTTTCAAACATGAGATTTGTTCATGTCATGATTAAAGTAAAAAAAAAATGCATGATGTTGAAGCATATTACCTAATGTAAAGGGTACTAGAATATAAAAATATATTAAGTTAAAAATTAAGAATTATGTTGCAGTAGAGCAGTTACTGCTGAAAAGAAATTGGGACTAAAATTTCTTTCTTCCAATAAGAATGATAAGTTTACTGGAACATTGTACATGTTTAATTATACACATGCTTACTGAAGTCTAATTTTCCACCTTCTAACCAAATAGGCTTTGGATTTTTATCCTTCGAGTCGGAAGAAGCAGTAGATCAAGTTTGTGCAGAACATTTTATAAACATCAATGGAAAACAGGTTCTTAGTATACTTTTTTATTAATTTAATCCCCTTCTTTTGCAGCACCTGAACTTTTACAGCTTTTCTAGGCCTGAATATTCTGTGATTCTGACCCTAAACTACATCATTATTATTTAAAATGCTTGTGTGGAATTAGTATGGATAATATACTGTCATGTAACAGTTTGTGAGATAGATGTTTAGACAGTGAGGTATAGAGTCAAGTTGTTCAGATGTAAAATCGAATCGATTTCTTGTTTTGCATTAATTTTTTTTTCTTTTGGCTCTCATCTTTTCACAACTCTCATTTTTCATGAATTTTAACACTTTTTGATTTGGTTGGCTTATAAATTATACAGATGTTACAGTCAAAAGCATTTGGTGTAAGCATTAATATGTTCAGTATATATCTATGTAAATACGGTAAATCCTCATATGCATATTGAAAATCATGTAAGAATCACTTCCTTCAAACTCTTATTTAACGGCGGATGATGGGACTTTAATACATGTAGTAAGATTGGGTAAATACATCTTCACTAGCCAAGTCTTCAATAGTCTTACCTCTCCAAGGGAGGCTCAAAGTAATTTTTTTTTACACTGGTCACTAGGACTATCAACATAAATTCTTGCTGGTCGATAAATTTCACTCTCCCACTGGGCTAGACTGGCCCCAAACCAATGCTTAAAAAGTCGTACTAACAATGTAACAGTTTACTTTCTGATTTTGATAACCAACAGTTTAAAAAATCAGATTTCTCCATTGATTCTCAAAGCAATATGAGCTGCAACTTTGATGTCGGAAATTTTTGTTGCAATATTGTAATTAACTATTTCAGTGACAGAAAAAAGAACATTTATAAACTTTTGTTGTTCATATTTGCAATGGAAGAACTATTTATAATCTTTGATTGAATCAAAATTACATTATTGTTGTCCTGTACAATATTTATTTCTTATATAATACTATACATTCCACTGTACAGAAATATTTCTTCTGAAAAAAATTTATTACTTTATTTCAGTCTAATTGACAACACATTTTAATAGCAAAATAAAATTCTCAAAAACGCAGCTCATATTGCTTTAATCACCTCTACGAGTGCCAGATCCAGATTCTGCATAGTCTCTATATGATCCTTGATGTTAACTGAACATATTTTTTATTTTATACTACATGTACTTCGTTAACTTAATTTTCATGTACTTGTTACACCTTGGTGACCCAGTAGTAAGAAAACATTACGATCATTAAGAATATCCTGATCTAGAAAACGTTGTTAAAATTATTTATTTAATTGAATTTACATAGCATTATTTCTTAAAACAAAACTTTTAACAAAACAAGGAATTGTTACTTTCCAGATAGTGCTTTCTAAAAAGCACTAGTTCACATATCCAAAATTTACTGGCCCCAGATCAGCAGATCATCAAATCAATTTTTTGAACCCTGACTTGGCTAGGGAAGATGGGTTAAATAAAGGTTTGATTTATACATGTATATTGCATGTCAAAATTCTTTTAAATATTTGTTACTAAACATCTTGTGGTACTTATTATTTCTCAAATAGAATGTATGACCTCTAGCCTGTTACATTCAAAACTTGAGATTAAAATTATGACCATAATATGAATCCTTAATGAGATTTCCCATGACCTTCACCTTTCATCTAATTTTTAAAAAATAATAAAACTATGGCAATTTTATATCTGTAATAAGTAGAGCTTTGGTGGTTGGTGTTTTAGGTATTTGTTGTTGTTACAGGGTAATTGTCACCTTTAATATAAAGACCAAAGCAATACTAGAAGATTATCATTTTTACTTAAATTTACTTTTTGACCTTTACAAGTTTATCAATGAATTATTTTTTTGAAGTATTGTTTCTGAAGTTGTTTGAAAATTAAAAACAAAAATAAAAACTGTAAAGAGGAAATGCATGTAAAATTCAAATTTGTTAGTATATATTTTTCTCAAATTTATTGAATACTAATCCATCATTATCTTTGAGCTTGCAATATGTTTGTTAATGTGTTGGCTTATTCCACAAACTTAAGAAATCCATTTATCCAAGTCACGGTTACACCTGTAATGTGTTTATCTAAAATGTGGACTCTGGTATGCATATTGTATATGTTGCATCTGATCATCACAAAAACTTCTTTTTGAATCAAGAGTTGTAAATATTATTACATGTGTTGTTAACTCTATACTAGTTTTCCCCTATGCATGATAGTCAGTGTATCGTGTACACAAGTATCTTGTGAACCACTTCATGTGACCTCTGCAGCTTTGTTTTATATCTGTAATGTTGCTATTGCAAGTAACAATTAGATACCTTTGGAAACCTTGTGTTTAGGTAGCAATAATATTTAATACATTGCAGTTCTCCTTGACTATAATTCATGTGCCATTCATTCCTTAGTAATGAAAGAGTGTTCAAAGAGAGTAGATTGCCAGGAATTTTTGTTTGGTGGTGGTGTTTGGGGGGGGGGGTTATGTTATTAATTGTGTGTACTGGTATGTACATGTTAGACTGGTTTGTAAATACAAGATGAATTCACAACACATACTGGTCCTCCATTCTTCATAAGTACTATCGACTGTTGACTTAGTGATTTAGTGTGCAAGTAGACAAATTAGTTTGTTACATGTATTTAGTTCTAGCACAACAGACATTTTGCTTAGAACATGTACATTGTACATATTGAGTATCATATTAAGGTTCTCAGAATTTAATATACATTGTACCAACACAACTGATTTTGAATTCATGCTTGTTACTGTAATTGTTTACATATGATGTAGTTCATTAATTAGTATTAAAGTCACATAGCTGTAGTAAATAAGCCTGCATTAGAAAAGTTGTAAAGAACTGGGGATGTACATCATTTTTGGAAGGCAGATACTGCATATGTTAATTTATTCTGGAGACTTTCTTAGGATGGTGTACTAATAACATTTTTCCTTTTTTAGTCTTAATATTTTATTTAATATTAAAAAGCTTCTAATATTTTAATTTAGTGTTTGATGTTTAGAAAGTCACATGAAATACACATTAACTCGGAATGAGTTGTGATATGTCTTACTTTTGTTCATTGTGAGCAATTATTCTTGAAATAAGGAGCAAAGGTTTTCCTGACAAAATATAAATACAGGTAATTTGTTAAGTTACTTAAACTTTTTTTTATGAGGCACCAGAAGAGGGAATAAAGCACCTTGCTAGCACACATGTTTTGTTGCTTAGTTCACTATAGTTTCTTCTTACAACCATGCCTATTAATTCATTAAATCAGTAGTCTTCAATATTGTCTTTAAAAGTATATGATGAGACTTACAAGAAGTCTAGTATGACAAATAATAAAGCTTTTTTGCACCAATGTAACTTCATAGGACCATTATGAATGTAGATTTACAAATGGTCATGTTCATGTAAGCCTAAGAAATCTTAAACAATTCACAAATGCATGACAAAATATGCAGGTTCCTGTATGTGCACCATTACTAGATAAAAGCATGTTGAAGGTTAATAGGGGAGTCTTAACAGTTGTATAGTAGACTTACTGGTAATACATTTTAAGGTAGTTTTAAGAGTGGTATTATGTTGGAAAATTCATGGTAGTCTTTGTTCTTATGGAGAGCTATTATATATGTTTGGTATACCGGGGTAAGCTCTATTTCTTAAGTGACCACAAACCCATAAGCTGTTCTTTCCACAGAAAAGCAGAAATTTAATTTTCCCATACAAATTTCCTTCATGTGTTAAGAGGTTTCTAATATGTGTTTAGAGTATTTTTTTGTGATTGTATGTGTTAGTATTTCTTTTATTACTTCAAAGCTATGAATTAGAGTTAATATTTTTTCTCTTGTTTATAATATTTAAGTGATAACAAAAAAACTTGATTGTGTGTTGTTACTAGAATGTAAGTTAAGATATTAAGGTTAAATTTAATTGATATAGTTACATTATAGAATTGTTAGTATGTATGTAAAATATTAAGAAAATAAAAAAGTCATATGATTATATTTCATTTCGATTTTTTATAATCTTAGGTTGAATGTAAACGTGCAGAGCCGAGAGATGGAAGAGACAACAAGCAGGGATTTGGACGACGGGGTCAGGATATGATGGGACCCCCTCATGGAATGGATGGGGGCTGGAACCAGGGAGGAAACTGGAACCAGGGCCCACCCCAGCATGGACCACCCCCTTCAGGGCCCCCTATGGGAAACATGGGATTTCCACCTCAAGGCTATCAGCAGCAACCTCCACCTGGGCAAGGATTTCCTCCTCAGCAAGGACCACCTCCACAGGTAATTAGGAAAAGTAATTAGACCAGGAATTTTTTTTATGTGGGATTAATTCCATGGGTTGTAATTTTCATGTTTTTCTCTCCTCTGACATGATCACAGTTTGATGAATTTGTGGAATTGGTATAAAATAAGTTACATACTGAGGCTAGTGTGCTTTATGAAATATGCCTACTTGACAAGTCTGTGATTTACACACCAATAACTCACATAAAACTTAAAAAACATTCCCTAAGTATTTACTTCATGAACAATACTGAGGGAGGTTTAAATAAAATGGTTAGATTTGGTATTTGATTTACAAATTAATCAAAACAAGTGCCATTAAACAGCTTTGATGATAAACATTGCTCAAATGACTTTCCTGTATGCTACTATAATGAGTATATGTACACCCCCAGTTCTTCTTTCTGAAGGGATAAAACTTAAAAGTAAAAACTAATGGACAATGATAAATATATTACTTTTTTCTTCCGATAGTAATTAGAATAATTTTTTTTTTTTGAAATGTCGATCAAAACTAATAATACACATGATCAGGTAACACACACACATGGTAAATAATGTTAGGTACACACAGGTAATCAAAACCCATGACCTTGTGTTTTGATTGATCAAAGAAGTAGCTTTGACTATTATATTATATATAGTTCATTATCTGTTGATTTGAATGTAAGGAAAGTGTGATATTAAAACAGTTGAATAACAAGTACATGTACCACTTGTAATTACTGAATGATTATGTATCTACCGGTAGTCTAGACTCAAATTTCCAAATAAATGAAACAAAATAAAGGTTTTATTAAAAACTTAATCACTGATTCTTGAATTCACAGATTTATTAACACATTGCATATAGTGAATATTTACACTGTGAGTTATTTTGCAGTAACAATAAGAAACTGTTTATGGTGTGTTTTTGATAGGCTCCCCCACAACAGCCCAATTATCAGGGAGGATACCAGTCACCCCCTGGATACCAGCAAGGAGGATGGAATGCTCAGCCCCCTAATGCTTCACCAGGACAACAAGGTAAAATTTCCAGTATTATAAAGCCAAAATCCACCAGTAATACATGTGCAAACATTTCTAATTTAATGATCTTGTGGAAAATGATGGCTTTATGTTAAGTAAAATACAATCACAGTGATAAATGGTCAATTGCAAATTTGGCTCCTTTTTAGCATTGTGGTTAAAAAGCCATCTTAATTTGTTATAGCAAAATAGACCTGAAGAAATTTATATCGTAAATAATACAAGGAAGAGTCATAAATTCTTATAATTTAACAGGTGCCTGGCCACCCCAATCTGCTGCTCCAATCCAGGCAGTGCCACCTCCTGCAGGTTTGTCCTTTCTGTTGCATATAGAGCTATGCTTGCTAAATCAAGCAGCAAAAGTCACTTGGCTCTTAACAGTTGAATCATTAGGGCCCTGCTTTGTGGGAGTCAGATATTACCAGTTAAACTTCCTGTCTGTACTCAATGCATGCATATATTATCTTCCCCCTTAGCCCAGCCTGGCTTGTACTTCACAAACAGTGTGCACATGAGTCAAGGGTATGACCATGATTCAAGTTTCTAGGTAAAAGGTTATACTTAAACAGGTCTCTATGTGGAATATTTGTCTAAGAGGACTTTTTCTTTATCTGAAGGGTATTTCTCTTACTTTGGACAATTTGACAATGCTTTACCTACAGAATGCCTCTGGGTAAGGGTGTGCATTGATTGTAAACAAATTTCATAGGGCAAGGTCAAGATTGAAGCAGATCTTGTTTGAGTGTATACTTAGCATATTTTTTGCTTATGAACCAGTTTGGCTCACTCTTTACAATATCTTGATCCAAGTTTCTAAGTCAAAGATGAAAGTCAGTAAATGCTTGTCTTGAGCAGATTCTCTCTTTTCTTGGCTCTCCTGGCTCTTTCTTCACCTAAACAATGCCTTTGGGAAAAGGTAGTGTAGTGATCTTGAGTAGAGTTCTTATTTCCAAAGTCACGGTCTAGGCAGATGTTTATGAAAGTCCATGTCTAGAAATTATATACATCTACATTTAATTTTCCGCAATACAATCTTTCATGCACACACATTCGAGTACCTGGGGGAATTAACAAACAGTGTTTGATCAGGAAATTCGGCCCCATTCCCTATGCTGAAAAGTGCATGTTTTTCCCAAAATCATACCTAAAAATTCCCAATATGAAAAAAAAAGTATTAGGTTGTAAATTATTAAAATAAAATAATGACAAAAAGGTGTTTATGTTCTCTATGTGCGATGTACCAGCCATCCGAGGACTTTCAAGAAGTTATTCGGAATACTCCGGATGTTTGCATGCATACTTTTTAAAGCGGGATTGATGTTTAAAAATTAAAGTCGGGATCGTTATCTGAAAAATAAACGTGCATCATGCTCATGTCAGTCTCTCCAGTTTGCTTAGGACGGTAATTATGTTCCCCAAACGAAGTTTGGGAACATATTGTTTTTACTCTGTTTCTTATTATTATTATTATTAAGGTCTTCCGACTTCCTTCGGAAGACCTTATTGTTTTCCGTCTGTTTTCTATTATTATTATTATTATTATTCTTTTTTTTCATAGTTATGGCGATATCTCAGCTGTGAGTGATCAGATTTCAGAGATTTTTTCGCGGAAGATGCATCATGTAAATATCTCCAGACATGTTTTTCATTTTTTCAAAAATCACTTCCGTTCGCGATTTTTGGGGAAATTTGTATTTTTTAAATGGCATTTTGTCCAGAATTTTTCTCGACAACGGCTAAAGATATGAAATTGAAACTCAATGAATAAATAGAACATCAAATTCCAATATGGGGAACGACCTTTATTTTTCGTCGTCGGCACTTCCGGTCGCAAACGGAAGTGAATTCAAAAAATCCAATTTTTCAACTTTTTTGTTTTTCAATATTTTTCTTTAGAATTTACAGGGTTTATAGAGTGTTTTACAAGAATTCTAAATATGTATTCAATATTTTGATGCGTGCATTTATTGCAAAGATATGACTGATCCAAACTTTGTCCCACTGTCTGGGGTTCGAATCCTGCTGGAGGTAGTTAATTTTTTTCTTTGTTTTTCTCTTTTTTTCAGTTGCTAATGACTTCTCTCTCTTTAAAAACATGTATGGTAGTTTTTGCTGATTTTTAAAAGCTTTTTTGTCAGAGATTCTGTAGAAAACCTTTCGACATATACTGAATATCTTTGCATCTATGATATGTCCTTCTAAAACTATTTTAAGATTTCATTCTTGTCCCCAAAGCTTGACCCATTCAAAAGTTGTCACCCCTTTTGCAATAAAACCTTGTTATCGCTACTCCTCCCAAACCGTAAAACGTAGAGATTCCAAGCCTTCAGCAGTGTCTTCGACTCATTTAATACTCTCTTCATTCTATCATTGCAAAAGCATTCTTTGGTCCCTTGTATGAGTTACTGCCCCTGAAAGTTTATGCTGTTTACATTTAATGAACCTTTTTTAAAACGGTGTATCCTAGAGACATGGGACCAACTGCATCGGCATGTTTGACTTTGACCTTGAAATATAGGTCAAGGTCAAAGTCATTTAAAAACATAAGAAATTCCTTCTATATGTGTGAAATATAGCAATTCACCAAATGACCTTGAACTTTGACCTTGACCTTTCGCCTTGACATTGGGTCAAATGAAAAGTAAGGACATGCATCCAGCTCCAGTATCAGGTAAAAACATAGAAAGTAAAGATTTCCTTGTTTTGTTTTGTTTTGGTTTTTTTTTTTTTTTTTTTTTGAAATGGCCTTGACCTTTGATCTTGACCTTTGATCTTGACCCAAAGGTCACAATCAGGCTTAAAGATGTGAAAGTAGTTACAATTCTTAGTTTAAAAGAGGCATAAAATAAATAATTCATTCCCCCCCCCCCCCCCCTTCTTAAAAAAAATCACATCAACAACAACGTAGAATATTTCTGTAAAATTCAAACCAGACCTCGGATCGACAACATATTTGGTACATTTGTAGTATAGACCTCAGAGAAACTTTCTTGAGAGTTTTACGATGAGTCTTATAAGTTTATAGAAGTCATGAAGTTTCACGGCAAAAACTACAAGTTCTGTTGTGTTTGAAATTAAAGTGCAGGTGAATGAAGAAATGATCTAAACCTTTTATCGGCTATTTCTTCAGATGTCGTTAGTAGCATTCGATTTTCCTGATATGATACGACATTTTAATACCAAGCATTCTCTCTTTCTTTTACATTTGGAATTTATTTGATTTTTATTTAGAATTAATCAGTTTCCAGAAATAGCGATTTTCGGTATATTAAAAACAATTCTCGCTTTCATTGTTGGGTTTCCCTTCTAAAAATGCATGTTGGGAGTTTAATTTGTGCTACACATATTTAATTTAACCCAAAGAAATGCTTATTTAAATGTTTCATATTTATTTCAGGATATTCAGTCAGAAATGTTAAAATCCGAACCCGATCTTTTAAGCTTACAACAAAGCTATTTTCAAAAAATTCAGCATGCTCACAATATCGATGAATCGGGCTACAGTCCATTAATACATTTTCATTAGGGAACAGTGTTAACGTTTTCTCACGCAGCCCGTCCTTTTTTATTAAGGTCTTCCGACTTCCTTCGGAAGACCTTATTGTTTTCCGTCTGTTTTCTATTATTATTAAGGTCTTCCGACTTCCTTCGGAAGAACTTATTGTTTTCCGTCTGTTTTCTATTATTATTATTATTCTTTTTTCATAGTACAGGCCATATCTCAGCTATGCGTGGTTCAATTTAAAAGATTTTTGCAGGGAAGATGCATCATGAATATATCTCCAGGGGTGTCCCTCACTTTTTTGAAATTTTACTTCCGTTCGCGATTTTTGGGGAAAATTGTATTTTTTAAATGGAATTTTGTCCATTAATTTTCTCGAGAACGGCTAAAGATATGAAATTGAAACTCACTGACGTGATAGAACATCAAATGGAAATATGGTGATCGACCTTTATTTTTCGTCGTTCGTACTTCCGGTCGCGAACGGAAGTGAATTTAAAAATGTTAAATTTGCAACTTTTTTGTTTTTCAATATTTTTCTTTGAAATTTACAGGGCTAATAGGGATTCTTCTAAGAATTCTATGTATGTTTCCATCATTTTGATTGATGCATTTATTGCAAAGATATGACCAATCCAAACTTTCTCGTATGTTGCGGGTTAGAATCCTGCTGGGGCGAGAGATTGTTTCTCTCTTTTTTCAGTTGTAAATAATATTTTTCTCCGTGAAGAGATGCATGATAGTTTTTGCTTATTTTTTAAAGTTTTGTTAACAGAGATTCTACAGAAATCCTTTAATAATTATGATCTATGTTGAAAGACTGTGTTACATAAACGCAAACGAAAAATACCTTCAATAAAGTATTAAATGAAGTGAGATAGCATAGAGTTCTGGAGAAAAGTTCGGTCGGAAGACCACTTGTTGCCCTAGCAACAAGAAACGCATCTAGTTATTATTATTATTCTTTTTTTCTACTTTCTTCTCCGGTACTTTTTTGTCCAGGAGTGTTCTCATAGAACCACTCATCCGATTGACATGAAACCTTTTTAGGGTTAATAGGCATGTTGTGTAGGTGTTCGGAACGAAGGTCATTTTGCGCGCACATGCATGCACGTGCGCGCGCGTGCAATGAGTGAAATGACTGATATACTTCATGAAGCCGTAACTTTTATATTTCTTGATGAATTGCTTTGAAACTCAAAATATAAAGATATATTAGTAGTCTAGACAAGATAACACGGTCAAATTAGTGTGAACTCACGCGCATGCACGTGCGCTCTTCTCTGATTGGCTGATACAAAAATCTCAATAATTTCCTTGTTTTTTGACAAAATTCTTTGAAATTTAGAATATAAGTATATATTATAAGGTGCTACAACATGTTATATAGGAAATTTCTTGAAAACACGCGCATGCAGGTGTGCTGCAATCTGATTGGTTGAAACTTTAAATGTCCATAACTCCCTTGGTTTTCAACAAAACAGGATGAAATTTACGACATGGATAGGCACATAGAGCTCCTACATTATGATACTATCAAAATTGAATGCAAGGCCATGCATGCGCGTATGCTGAATTCTGATTGGCTAATACTTAAAGGGTTACATCTCTCTTATTTTTCAATGAAATTCTTTAATATTTAACACAAATGTATGTATTGTGACACACTATAAGAAAATTATTGTGAAAAATATAGAAAACATGTGCAAGCACATGCGCTGAAATTTGATTGGCTAATACCCATATGGCTATATCGGAGTAGTTTTCCAATGAAATACCCTTAAAAATAAAGTGTCCCTCTAGATTACAAAAGTATTGTCTAATTTATTGAAGCTTGTAGGGAATGGGGCATCATAAGGGATTGGGGAGCCGTTTGGGGAACATCTGTAACGGTTCCCGTTACAATTAGCACTAGTTTTCAGGCTGTGTTGAATCGCTCTTATTCTTATAAACTGGTCAAGCAATACCAATTAACCACTCATCTGGAACAAACCCACTATTAAATGTTATTTGAAAGAACTTCTTGCATAATGGTAATAAAGATAACGTATAAATATGTTCATTTACAATGTTATCATACCCTGCGGCTTTGCCATTTTTAAGCTTCTGAATTTCAACAGCTGCTATTATTTCGTATCACTAAAGCTGGTTTAAGCCAGCTTCATACTATAAAAAAAAGAAAAATTATTAAATATTTGACTTTTGCTTGTTTTTTCCTATTTATTTGTATGAAGATATTTTTCCCAATTTCAACCAAATATCGCTATTTTTCCCAATCTTGACGGCCCCGGCCCCTGGAATCAAAGGGTAAAAAAATCCCTGTTGATGTGAATCCAGGCTCCAAGTCAGAACATTTTTTTTGTAAAATCCATACAAAATGTTTTTCACCAATTACAGTCCTTTACAAGTTCCTTTAGCTTTATCATTCTGTTCATAACATTTGCTAAATATGGAAGCCTATCAATAGTTATCATTTCAATGATATGCACACATTGTTATTAAACTTAACATTTGCTATATCCCTTGAAGTACACATTTATATACTGTTTGGAATTAAGCTCTTATAGTAAAAAAAAAATAGAGCTTACTCATATCTGTTTACTGACAGAAAAAAATGTCTCTATGAATTGCCTTGTTTTAAGACTTTGCTTAACCATGCAGATACACAGCAATCTTATTCTGGATATGGTGCTCCTCAGCCCGGTTATAGCCAGCCCCCTACTACAGCATACTCTCAGTGGGGATCCACAGCAAACACACCAGTGGCACCACAGCCTGCTACTGCCCAGCCCACCACCCAGCAGCCAGCACAACCCAGTTATAACCTGTATGGACAGCCACCTGCCGCTGCTGCTGCTCCAGCAACACCTGGTTATACTGCAGCCCCAGGAACACAGACTTACAGTTCACATTACAGTAAGTAAAAACAGTAACCACTTAAGATGCTGTCTTCATCTTTTTATACCCCCCGCAAACGAAGTTTAGGGGGGGTATATTGGAATCAGCTTGTCCGTCTGTCTGTCTGTCCGTCTGTCTGTAGATGAGATTTTGTCCGGACCATTTCTTGGAAACTGTTGCAAGGGTTTGTCTGAAAATTTGTACACTTATTATTCGCCATATGAAGGTGTGCACCTGGTATTTTCATCATGATTGGATAATTTTTTTGCATTTTACAGGTGTTTTTTTCAATTTTTTTATGTGGTTTTGTCCGGATCTGTTCCCAGAGACTATTGCATAGATTTGTATGAAAATTTGTACATTTATTATTTTCCATATGAAGATGTGCACCTGGTATTTTCAACATTATTTGATGATTTTTCTGCATTTTACAGGTGTTTTTTTTTTTCTCATTTTTATTGACTTAGTCATTTCAGGTTCATGTCTAAGGTTTGAGACATAGAATCTAGAACATCTGTACAAAAATGTGAAAGCTTAAAACTACTCATTAGAACTAAAAAAAAAATCACGAAGTATTAAAAACAGTTTTTACATTACACAGCAGATAGTGTAAATCCATTTGTCCCTTGGGAGTAGTGAGTGGACATGCATCCAGTTAAAGATTAATTAATGAGTTCAGTGTGGGAAGCTGTTAGGGCATCTCTGATCAAGCAGGTCTTATCTATATCTCCTGGGAATTGGACAGAAAGAAATAAAGATCTCTGTTGTCTAAGTCTCTTAATTGTAATTTATGTCTGTCAAAATACATAGTTACTGGAACCAGCCATTTATTTCTAAAATGAGTTTGATATAAAAGGTGTTCAGATCAATTTGATTTTGTATAATTAATTATGATATTTTTTTTTCAACAATTAATTTGCAGAGTGTCATGTCTCAAAAAGATGACAGATAGTTGCAAACTATTTTTCAATGTAATAAAAAACACTTAGTATTGATGTTTTATTAGGCTGCACCTTAGTTTCATTCATTAAAAAAATATAATGAGTAATTAAATTTTCACTCTAATGTTTAAGCAAATTGTGAACACCTCTCACATCTAGAAAACATTAGTGATTTGGTACCATCTCTGAAAAACCCAGCGGGGGGTATTTGTCCCTTTTGGACAGTTCTAGTTAGTAATTGACTTCATGGTATTACCATCTAAAAATCACAAGAGAATATGAATATTGTTTATAATAAAAATAAATTTTGTTTATGCACCATTATATAAATGTAAAATATTAACTGTAAGGACTGATTTATAGATGTAGCAGTAGCAGATCCTGCCCAGCCTGCTGCCCCAACCACTGCCCAGACAGGATACAGTAGCTATAACCCATATGGAGCCCCACAGGCACCTGCTTCTTCAGTTCCTGATCCATACGCTGCTAATTCACAGCCAGCCACTACACCAGGTAAAAGAAATTTGCCTCATGTAACAGTTTTTAGGTTTAGTCTAAAGGAAGTTTTAAAAAGTACACTGTAAAAACAAAGATGGAGGAAATAAAGTACCCTGGACATAGTAAGAAGTTAATAGGTAAGATGGTTCTTTGCAGGAGCACAGGTTCCCATGGGAGTCCCAGACCCATATGCCCAACCTCCAGTAGCCCAACCTACCACTAACCCTGGTAAGCTTACCAGCATGAAGCACTGTTGACCATCATCTTCTACATGAAGAATGTTTTCTATGCTTGTCTGTCTGTCCAGAACTTTTATCCTAACAAGAAATCTTTAGATTTTCTTTGTCATTTTGAAGAGAGATTTAAGTTCAGTAAAAAGTTGAGCTATGTGAAAATTGCTTTCTTAAACGTGTTACTGTCATAGCATTTGATGCAAATGTATTGCTGTGTTATAATGCTCTTTTAGCTTCACTCAAAGTGATGGTCTGTAATTCTGTGTAATTTTGTTGTTGAATTTATACATGTAAGTTGAAAATATGGTTAATTATGTTTTAAAAAAATCAGAAAATTTTTCAGTAATGCCAACACCTATAGCAAGCTATTGTGCAGTACACAAGCATATTTGTATATTTGTAAACGGAGATTTTACAAATTTTATTGAAAGATTCCAAATGATGCTTCTGAAAAAATATGACACTTGCTAAACATCCACGCTTTTGTGTTGCATGAAATAGATTCTTTTGATATCAGAATTTATTTTCATAAAAGAATGCTCTGCTTGTGCTAACCTATTGAACCAGTGCATTCAATTAGGTGGATCAGTTAACATTGCCAAACTGTTTTTATGCCCAGCCATGAATATGGCCGGGGGATATAGTGTTTGTCATGTCCGTCTTCCATCTGTCTTTCCATCACACTTTGCGTTTAGCTCTGTTCAAAGTTTAGTTTCAAAGAAACTATCCAAGATATTTTTATCAAACTTCATATGCTGATAGATATTGATGAGAGCTATACAACTGCATCAACATTTTTTGAACTTGACCTTTCATTTGACCTTGACCTCACTTTTCTTAAATTAGTGTTTAGCTAAGTTTTTAAAGATACCATTCAAGATAGTGTAATCAAACTTCATATGTTGATACATACTGATGTAAGCTATTCAACTACATCAACATTTTTTTACCTTTTTTACCTTGACCTCACTTTTCTTAAATTAGTGTTTAGCTCAGTTTAAATGAAATCATTCAAGATATTTTTTATCAAACTTCATATGTTGATACATACTGTTGAGAGCTATTCAACTGCATCAACATTTTTTACCTTGACCATTCCTTTGACCTTGACCTCACTTTTCTTAAATTAGTGTCAAACTTCATATGCTGATACATACTGATGTAAGCTATTTAACTGCATCAATAGTTTTTTACCTTGACCTTTCCTTTGACCTTGACCTCACTTTTCTCAATTTGTGTTTAACTCAGTTTTAAAGAAAACATTCATAATATTTTTATCAAACTTCATATACTATGACCTTAACTTCATTTATTTTAAATTGGTGTTTAGCTCAGTTTTAAATAAATCATTCAAAAAATTTGTATCAAACTTAAATATTCTGATACGTATTTGTGAGAAGTATTCAACTGCATTTAAAACATTTGACCTTGAACGTTCCTATGACCTTGACCTCATTTTCTTAGATTTGCATTTTGCTTAATTCTAAAGAAACCATTTAAGATATATTTATGTAAGTTTATGCACTTATACATAATTTGGTGAGAATTTATCATCTATATCCAACTTTTTAGATTTCAATTTCAATTTTAAAGAAACAATTCAAGATATTCTCATGAAAATTACTAATATACCCTCGGCGGGGCATTCATGTCCTATGGACATATTTCTAGTTTAATTTATTCCTCAATAATGCATGAAATTTTGGTTTAAATTTTTTTCGTAATTTTGAGAATCTTTATAATTTTAACCTACATGCCCTTGTCTTGTTTCTATATATAAATTTTCTACCAAAATATCTAGAAGTAAAAATTAGGAAAAGAAGATACAATAATGTATATAATACAAAAACTATATGAAGTAAGTGGGTTTTGGAGAAATATGGTGAAAAATTATGTAGGTGCCTTTTATCAACATTTTACATAGGAAATGCATTGAGAATTGCAAAAACACTGATTTGACAAAATCTTAAAAAGAAGGTTGGCTTGGTAAGTTAAACAATCCAGAATATAGCCTGTTTAGTACAATTAAACCTACTCAAGAGTTCTTGAAAAATTCTATCGATAACCAGGAACCTTGCCAATGTCCTTAGTATACACGCATGATGCCTCATGCATTCAGTAGATAAACTGTTGCTCGATTTGAATTTTATTCGTGGTAAATAACACCATATGCCTACAAAACAAGGTCATGTTTAACAAGATTATATTAAATAGCAGTGTTCAACTTCATGTTTGCTGTAGATTTGTTTTCCTTCAAATGGCACTGGATGTACTCTTGTTTAAGAATTATCAATTCTGTTCAAGAATATATAGATTCATTGTCTTATATTTTCAGGGTATGGTGATCCCCCAGGTTTTGGTGTAGCTCCACAGCCAGCTCCAGCATATGGAGGACAGGGTGATGGACAGGTTGGAGGATATGCAGCCCAACCAGGAGGGGGGTATCAGAGAGCCTCAGTGCCCTCAACACAGGCGGCCTACCATCCATATAGACGATAAACATCATTTTAAACTGTGTTTTATACAGTGTGTAGAGGTTGCCCTGGGCTATTAAAATCACAGTGTGGTTGATTCCAATTGATGGCGTTGTCGTCATCTCTCAATATTTAGCAAAATCAAATAATTCATTCTTTAGTATCATGAACATTTGTGTTGTAATATCTTCTTGTTCATAAAAATTTTTATGTTCTCAGTGCTGTTTTAAATGTTGCCACATACTGTATTTTAAATATGACAGAAGAAATACTTTTTTACTGAAAATGGTCAAATAGTTGCATAAATGACATATTTCTGCTAAATTTAAGTCAGTCAAAATAGGCAGCTAATTTGTAATATTCATGAAAACCGATGTATTCAGAATTTTTTCTTATTAATTTTCTTATTAAATATACATGTATGCTATAACATGAGATTTGAAAGTTTTTTTTCTTCATTAAATGTGTATAAGTGTAGTTCTTGGTCTGTTTTTTTTTTGGTGGTGGTGGTATTGAAGCAGTAAGCTAGGATCCCTTTACCAAATTATGAAATTTGTCTCCAGGGCTTTGGCCGAAGGGGGAAGGGGGGGGGCTAAGTGGATTATGCATTACATCTTTCAAAGTCTTTTTTTCTTAGCAGCAAACAAGCTTCATGCTATGAGGTAATGAAATATTTAGGTGACCTCGAGGGCAATTGGCCTTTTTTCTTAAAATAGCTGACTGTGAGTATCTTTAACTTTGTTTGTAGGGTTACCTTAGTGAAATGAGCTTAGAGTCTGGAAATTGAGCAAGTTCGTCACTGTACCACGATGTTCCTATACCATATTATATGTAAATGAGTAATTCAGTTTCCCCAGGATAGGGGAAGTTATGCAAAAAAAAAAAAAAACTTTCTAACCAATGAACTAAAGAGATCAAACGTTAAGGACAAGGTCACCTGGACAAAATTAAATAGCGTCCAGACTGTGATTACACTAATATGCAGAAGTTTGATTAACCCCAAGCATATTTTAATCATCCCTATATGTAACAAATATGTTGAGGTTATTATTGATGAAGAGTGGTTTACAACAAAGAGGCTTTAATAAGGTATGCTGGAAAGGATTTATTGGAGAAAAAGAAACGTCTCAAAGAGTGATCAGTTGAGTGTCAAGATAATGTAAATGTACAAAATTGATTATTTGTAAAATGTAAGTTTTAAGTGGTGTGTATGAATCTGAGTGAGGTACAATGTACTTTGTGGAAAGAAAAAGGAGGGGTGACCCATATATTATAGAAATGTCTTAACCCACAAGATACTGGTCTTTGCTTCGCTGCTTTGCTTCATAATGACATCCCAGGCCAAATTCTCGAAACCCTTGTTTGAAATGTGGCCCCTGACAAAAATATGTCTTCATCTTACCTCAAGGCTGTATTACAAAGGTCATATTACAAAGGTCATATTCATTGAGATGATAAAATTATGTCAAGGGTATAGATAATTTAATGTGGCCCATCTCATGATGGCCCATATTATGGTTTTTGGCTTGCCAGTCCCTATGCTCATCTTTTGGATTTTAGTCACCTGATGGTTCAAGGGGTAAGATAAGTTGCTTTTGAAAAGTAGAATTTTTTGCCAGATCATTTTGTGGACCAAATTTTATGGCCACATACCAGTCAAATTGTGTCGGAATTAATTTATTGTACACTGAATAGCATAGGACTATAATATCAAACTTGGTTAGTTGATGTACCTTAAAATGGAGGGGGGGGGGGTTGGTTCTGCCCTAAAATAGGTCAGTGGCCTCATTTTGGAATAACATAGCCTTACACAGTCTATCTTAAACACTCAGTGAGACCTAGGACCATCAAACTATGAATTTTGTCTTTATCTTTTCTTTGACTCTTTCATTAGATGACAAGGGAAGGAATTTTACATTTTTCTGAACATTATAGAGAACTTCAAGAATGTAACAGTCTTTTTGTCCCTCATCGCGTTTCATCCATTGCATTGTGTATTAACATTTGAACATTTTCAGCTTCTAATCTAGAACTCCTGAACTAATTTTAACCAGATCTGTGCATGGTTATGAGTGAGAATGCCTCTTCCAAAATTGTTAAATTCATGGCCCCTGGATCAGGGGTTCTGGTATTACAGTAGTGCTTTATTGATTATATACTGAAAATGCAGTATTTCTTTGAAAATCTTTTCTGCTCATTGGTATTTAGCATGTAATCCAAGTGCATGGTTATAAACAAGGATGCCTTTTGCAAAATTCATGGCCCCTGGGTCAGAGGTTCTTGTGTTACGACAGGGCTTTGTGGATTATATAGTGAAAATGTATTTATTCTCTGAAAATCTCTGCTCCTGAGTATTAAAGAAACAAGCTAAGTGCATGATTATGATGAGCAAGGGTGCCTCTACCAAGCATGGCTCTATTGATTATATAGTGAAAATGTATTTATTCTTTGAAAATCATCTCTCTCCATGGTATTTAGAAGGTAAACTAGGTGAATGTTATAATAAGAAAACTTAAGGTGTCTCTTCCAAAATTGTAAAATTCATGGCCACTGGATTAGAGATTTTTGTGTTAGTGCAGTGCTTTATTGATTATATAGTGAAAAGTATTTATTCTTTGAAAATCTCCATTCCTGGGTATTTAGCAAACAAGCTAAGTGCATGATTACGATAAACAAGGGTGCCTTTCTCAAAATTTTGAAATTCATAACCTCTGAGTCAGGGGTTCTGGTGTTAGGGAGGGCTTTATTGATTATATATCCTCTTCTCTTCCCCTGAATATTTTGTAAACAAACTAAGCAAGGATGCTTCTTCCAAAATTGTGAAAATTATAGCCCTTGGGTCAGTGGTTTCAGTGTTAAAGAGTGGCTCTATTGGTTTTAAAGTGAAAATGGATTAATTCTTTGAAATTTCTCTTCTCCTGGGCTTCTAGGAGGCACACAGAGTACAAAGTTGTAAAGAGCAAGGTGTTTTGACCAGATTTGTGAAATTCTGGACCACTTGGTCAAATGTTATGGTGCTGGGCTGGGCTTTATTGATATTTTATAAGGAAATTTGTACTCTACCGAGAAAATTTTTTCCCCTTTGCTATATACCTATGATAATTTAAAATTACTGTTTGTAATGTAACTGATAGGTCAAATTCAATACAGAATTAAGCAAGAATTTTTAATTATAATATGAAAATATTTTCATAGTTTAAATGATCAGATAGACTTGTAGATAATTGATAGATAAAAATGAGACAAAAATACCATACAGTGTCATGTATCTTCTTTGTACATTATACATCCTTTAAAGACCCAAAGAGGCCAATGCAATAGGGAGGTTAATTATCCTCCTTCTCTTGCTTTGGGGCAAAATATCTTCATCTCTTATTTTATTTTTTACTTCAGTGGATCCTTTACAGTGTTGTATTATACTCGGGTGATGATTAGGGCCCTTGGGCTTTGTTCTAAAGTATGTGTAGTTGCAATTGATGGGGTCACAGCTTGTGACTATGAGGATGCTTAAATAGACATGCCTGACATTGTAGTTCCCAACAGGCATATCATGTTTCCATCTGAAGAATGTAGGTCAAATCCAGCATCTGAAGCAAGCCTGGTAGTGTGCATCCCTAGAAGTTTCATCCATGCAAGTTTGGTCACCTAGGGCTTATAGTTACTTTGGAATAGATGTGTTTCAAGAATTAACCTGGTCACTTAAGCATGTAATTTAGATCATATCCAGCATCTGAAGCAAGCTGGTGGTATGCACCATCCATGCAAGTTTGATCAAAGCAAGGCCTATAGTTATGTATGTGGATGGACTTGCTCCTGAAACTTTAAATCGTGACATCAATGCAGGGGGTAACATAAACTTGTGTGAGTTGAGCTAAAAAAAAATACTCTGAATCTCATAAAAGAATTCAAAACAAATTTGACATATATTTCATAACATATTTATTCATCAATTGAATTATAAAAAAAATTGTGTAAATAAATCATGTACCTATTTTAAAATGATCAATAAATGCTAATATAATTCATGGATGAAAACCGGAGGATGATTGACTAACCTTTCAAGTGTCTGCAAAAAATAAAAGTGCATAATTGTAAATCAAAATGAGCAAAGATGTATTTCAAAAAGAAATATACTTCTGTTCATCATTCAATAGAGGCACTTGCGAAATTTGACTAGAGGGGGAAGGGGGGGGGGTAATTTATGCTAAACTGAAATTAAGATTTTGCAGCCAAACAAAACACCATATATACTCGCCTATAAGTCAGTTTTTTGGGAGTTAAACTTTGATCCAAAACTCTTTATCTGACTTACACCGGAGTTATAAAAAGATTAGTATTTTAATGGGTCAATCCCTCTAATTTAAGCTTAAAAAACTACAACCGACTTATAGGTGGACTGACGTATAGGCGAGTATATACAGTATTGTTTAACAAAAACATCTTGATAATAACGCATCCAAGCGAAATTAACAATCACTAATGTAACATTCAACATGGCGCCATATTTAACATGATGTAAAATAAAAGATAAAAATGGAATCACAGATACTATAATTACCAAGGATAAATAATCAACAATGCATATCTCCATGCATTTATAAATCAATACACATGTATAATTGTGTAATTGTAACAAGATAATTTATACAATATACATATTAAAATATTGAACAAAAGTCTATAAAAGTTTGTTTACACTATACATACATGTAACACTTAAAGCAATATAGTCTGTAACTGCATACATTTTGAGAAAAAAATTTTCAAATGTACTCTCTCTTCTTGGCCAAAGTTACAGCAATCCTGATTATTTAATGATTTTAGATTACATGGGGAAAAAAAAGAAAATTACATTTATAACAATGTAAATCATTGTAGCTACAAACAGAATCAAAACAAAGAATCTGTGTGTGCAAAGCAGCATTTTCAGACATGAACCTGTATAAGAATAGATTTTTAAACATGATTCGTTCAACTTAAAAGCATGAAAGTTCATCAATAGTATCATCTCAATTTTCATTAGGTGTTGTACATGTATGTATACATCAATGATGATAAGTATTCATCAAATCTTTGCTTACCAACATGCTTACAGAATGCATGTACACGGTACATTGTACATTACAAACTTCACAAGTATTCTCAGAGACAGTTTTTTCTTCATGTACATCAATCAAAGTCAAAATTATGCAAAATTACTGGTATGGACTATACTGCTTTAATACAATAAAACATGGATATAAATGTATCAGCAAATATTGCTTTGTTATAGTGTTACAAAATTCAAGTTCCCTTTTGGCCTTAAAACAATCTATATTTCATCTTTAATAAGTGCATGCATTTTAAAAAATTCATACATGTACTTGAAATTCACTGGTAATGAAGGGAGGAACAAACTGCTCATTTCAAACCTTAATTAAAAAAAAAAAAAAAAAAAAAAAAACTTTGTTTAATACTGATATTTCCCAGTTAGGCTTTATATTTGTACATGTGCACTTATTTTCATCACCACATTTTCAGTAAATTAAGCATTTACTAGTTAATTTACATATAAACTTAAATTTAAATTAACTGGATTTCACAATTACCAGGTATTCAAAAAAATTAAAAATTATTTAAATAAATTTCTTCAAACTCTTTTGACAGATATAAAATATATCATTGCTATGAAACTCTTTGTTTCAATAAATACGACACTGGTACATGTAAAAAAAATATAGCACCTACCAGTTAAAAAATATATGAACCTTTTTCTTCTTGCATCACAATTTACATGTTCTTATACATAGAAGTCTTTTAAAATAGAAAATAGCGACCATAATTTGAACTTGGAAATGTTGTTCCAATCACAACCGTGCTTTTGCCAAAAACTGAGCAATATTTTCAGTGTTGAGTGGAACATAGGTTTTTGTTTCTGGTGAAATACGGAAGAGAGGATCAGTGATGACGGCTGGGTTGAATGCTTCCTTCACGTATTCCACTTTCCTCTGTTTGTGAGTGACTGTAAGTGGCATCTCTTTGATGAATCGGAGGAATAATGGCTGAGCATAGTGTGGCAGGTTCTCTTCACAGTGGTGGTAGATCTTGGGGAGCAGGTCTGTGTGAAACTCTACATTTTTCTTCAGTAAAATTCCTGCCATTCCAGCTCGACCATCATTACCTATTGAATAAAATATCATATCTTTAAATAAATAAATGTACTCAATTTCATATTGTGCTTACATGTAAGAAGCAGTACGTTACATTTACAGCCTTCCTAATACTTCATCACATAACAATTCCCTCACAATCTAAACTATAAAAATACTTTTATACAGTAGGATATAGCTATAACAAACCTTTTAGGGCATCTAAAAGCAGACCCAGGGGCCATGAAATAATTGGAAATGACACCCTTGATCACCATAACCATATACTTAGTTTCTCTGCTATATACCCAGGAGCAGAGAAAAAGATTTTTATGCATTTTCACATTATGATCAATAAAGCCCCATCATAACACCAGAACCCAGATCCAGGGGCCATGAATTTCTCAATTTTGGAAGAGGCGCTCTTTCTTACTATAACCATGCACTTACCTTCTTTGCTACTCAAGAGTCTAGAAGAAGATTTTTATTCATTTTCACCATATGATTAATAGAGCCCCACAATAGCACTAGGACCCCTATCCAGAGGCCATGAATTATATAATTTTGGAAAAAGACACCCTTGCTCATCATATCTATGCACCTATTTTGTCTGCTAAGTTTAAAGGGGGAGAGAAGAAGCTTTTTGAAGAATTTATGCATTTTTACTATATGATCAACAGAGCTCCTCTCTAGCACAGAACCCCTGATCCAGGGGCCATGAATTTCTAAATTGTGGTAGAGGGCTCAATGCTTATTACAATTATGCTAACAGTTTGACTGTTTGATGTCGCGGAGTAAAGAAGATTTTTGAAGATTGCATTAATTTTGATGGTTTTGGCCCCACCCTTCAGGCCCCTTGTGGGCAAGAACCATGAAATTTACAGATCGTGTCTCCCTCATAGATGCTTTATACCAAAATTAGTTGAAATTCATTTAGCAATTCCAGAGAAGAAGCTGAAAATGTTCAAATGTTAACGCCTGATGCAGCACAATGACAGATGGAAACAGTCTTATACTGGTAAACATGTACATTTATTTATAATCTGCTGTGTCTACCAGGCAAGAGATATTTTATTATTTTGCACTTCTTAAGACACAATATGACACTGGTATAACACAATATGTTCACTATAAGCATGATACATGTAGCAATAGATGTGTTTTATTATCCATTTCTATATCAATGAATATCCTCTGCTTGAAGATTTACTTATCATTATAAACTGGTCTGTAAGAGGAAGAAGAATGAACTGACCTGGTACTTCTACTCCATATACATTAGCATCTTGTATGAAAGGTAGTCCTGTCAGAATATTGGCTACTTCATTTGTGGACACGTTTTCACCTTTCCACCTGATAAAAATTAAAATTGGGTTTGAATATAAATAAATAACTCTTGGAGAGTCAATTTCATAAGATTAATGAATAGATAACAAGAGACAAAAATTCATGGTGTAAATGTCATTTAGGACATACGCACCTAAAAGTATCTCCAACTCGATCTTTGAAATATAAGAAGTAATCCTTGTCAACATACATCAAGTCTCCATAATTAAAGAAGGCATCTCCCTCTTGAAAGGCATTTCTAACATATTTCTTCTCATTAATTGCTTTGCCTCCGAGATAAAAGCCATCTTTGAACAGAGCTGGGTTAGCCATTCCTCCAATAAGAAGACCTGGCTCACCTGTTCAATGTTTAAATTAATATACAGTATGGATAAAGATAGATGTGTTCTATACGGTTAGGGTTCCTACCATATGTATCATTCTTGCCAACTTTTCTTTTGAAACATTATATGTGAAATATATGAGATTCAACTTGGAATTAAAATTGGTCTAGTATCTAATCCTCCAAATTTGTTAATTGTAAATTGATTTGAATATTCAAGTTGCAACTTGTTGCGTGGGGTATAATAAAATTATTATCTGAAAACTATAAATGTAATACATGTATATATTTCTGACCTTGGCCTTTGGACTCTTGGATTTTTAAGGTCATGGGGAGTTGTAATATAACATTCAAAACCTCAAAGTATTTTTAAGATGTAGTTTTGAAAAAAACTATTTCTTGAAAAAAAAAAGTTTACACAGACAAAATGTATGAATTAATGACCTTGACCACTGACTTTTTGACCTCAAAATCTATAGGGTTCTTCTTTAGGCCCTAGGGAGTTGTGATATTAAATTTTAACAAAGAAAGCCCAAAGAAAACTAAAGTTATATTCTAGAAAATGTTATTTGCAATGTATGAATTTATGACCTTTGATCTCAAAATCAAAAGGGGTCTTCTTTAAGCCATTAGGAAAAGGAGTTGTATTATATGATTTCATTGATTTTAAAGATATTTTCTGGAAAAGAAAGTGTTACACACAAACTGAATTTATGATCTTGACCTCTGCCCTTTTGACCTCAAAATTGATAAGGGTCTTCTTTATATCATAGGGAGTTGTGATATAAAATTTCATAGCAAAGGCTCAAAGGCTTCTCCAGATATTGCCAGAAAAGAAAGTGTTACACACAGACAGAAATACAGACAGGCAGACAGATGGACAGACAGACCCAACTTAATCTCCCCCATTTTTAGTGAAAGCAGGGGACAAAAATAGCTTTCCTTGGTGTAACAGGCAGAATTTTTGGACCCTTCCCGTAGGCCCTGGAGTTAGGTCTTAGAAATTTTTGTTTCCCTCTGCCTATAGATGGTACACATCCTATATACATAGACTATCAAAATGCACACATTTAGTTCTGACAAAATGTGAGAGAAAAAGATAAATATTTTTTTTCAGTTTTCTACACAATGCATGAGAACTGACTGACTCAAGTGACCTGAAAAGAGAATGAACTTCTCTCAACAAAAAAAGTCCATTTACCTATTTTGCAAGGAATGCATCGTCCTTCTTTGTTTCTCAATGGAGTCTCAGTGTTTGGATCATAACGCACTAAATATGATTTGGCTGGTGCCAACCTATTCTGTAAAAATGATTTTGTCATCAGTCTCAGAGCAATTCTTCTAGAATCTACAGGTATGTCTCACAATCAGAACCAGTAGTGAGTATAACAAGCCTTTTTCAAAAATACAAGATACATTATGTCATGTACATATACACTGTCAAACATTATCAGATATGATGTGAGAAAATCATCAGCTTTATTTACCAGACAATGGTAATCTGAATTCAAATTGTTATGGTCATGTCTCTTATTACAACTTTTGTTTAGTTACAGTCTGACATATCAGTCTCCTTCAAACTCACCAGGAATGGGGACAGTCTCCCACAGGCTCCTACTTTCCCCCACGTATTCACAAAAGCAACGGTCCCTTCTGAAGCTCCAAAGAACTCTATGATTTTTGGAATCTTAAACCTCGTCTGAAATTTTTCCCATATGTCTGATCTGAGCCCATTTCCTATCATAAATCTGATGCAGTGATTTCCATCCTCAGGACTCTAAAAAATCAATAATACACAAAAGAAATGTTTGAAAATCACATGTGCCCCCTGACTGGAATTATTAAAAAGGAACAATTTTAAGTTTCGAATTTCTGTAATGATAGTGAAAATCTGCAGGCATGCTTTTGAAGCTATCTTAGGACTAAGACATATCTTAGGATGAACTTACGAAATATAATCATAGTCTAAAGTGAGGCCAGTGAAGTTATCCTATATTAGGAGACTTCCTAATCTTTGTCTGAACTTTAAGACGATGATGTGCTTATCCTAAGACATATCTAAAGGGATATAAGAAGCACTCGTGCCAGGAAAACAACTAGGATTGATTGAATTTACAGTGTTTGTGTAATTTAATCCAATATTTTTTGTAAAATATTAGTTTCTTTTGTGAAGTAAGTCAAGTAGACATTGTGCCTTGTCCCTGTATATGTATGCATTTAACATACAAATAGATACAGAGAAAGTGATAAATGAAAATGCATTCATTAATTGATGTATGAAACATGTAGCAGGTTAAAATGTTTACAACCGTGAGTACTGGCATGAATGCAGGCAGGCACTACCTTCAACTTTCCTACAGAGACCAGAAGAGCTAAAAATGAAGAAAATCATAAAACCTGCCTTAGGAATCAGACACTGATAATTTTCTAGAGCAGATGTCACACTAGTTCATTCTGTAATACCAGAACCAAGTCTGGACTATATCACTCAATTTACAGTGTTTGTTTAATAATATGATTTGATAGATAACAGCAAAAGAAACACATACCAATTCACAGAGCTCAATGCTGATTTGATTAATATCATCAAAGAATTACAGTGCACTTCTGATGACAGATACAGTGTTTAAACAGTAATTAACACTTCACAAAATGGCCAATTAACCAGAGATTTCAATCCGGAGACCCATAATTACCTCAAAATCAGCATAAAATTAAAAAATGAAAGCTGTAAATTATCAAGGTTTTTGCAGAGGATTCTGGTTTAAAAATGAATTTTAAGAAAATTGCATTCAAACTTACACATATTTCAATTTTTCAGATTAACCGATTACAGATTTTCTAACTGATTACCATCGTTCCGACCGAGTAATCGGTTACAAATTGCCATCCCTAATATATATACAGCAAAACTTGTCTAATCCGGATATTGTGTAATCTGAAATCTTGTCTAATACGGTGTAAACTTTAAGTCCCTTGCAGTAAATTCAATTGTTTTAAATCTTGTCTAATCCGGAATCTTGTCTAATCGGGCCAATTTTTTTGGAACCAGTTGTGTCCGGATTAGATAAGTTTTACTGTATATATATATATATATATATACACACAGGGCCGAGGAAAAACTTCAAGATATCAGAGGATTCGAGATATCCAGGGTAAAATACTTAAAGAATAAGGGGTTGGGACCTCCAAATCACTTCAACATATCCATGGTATTTGAGATATCAGTGTTTGAGATACCAAAGTCCAACTGTATATACATGTAATGCACCAGGTCTACTATAATTATGCATTATTGTTCACTTTGTACATTAATTGTCTTATCTGATGTGCCATATTGTTAGAAAAAGAAAATGATGGTTAAATCCTCTTTAACTTTAGTTAGTAGGCATACCTCTGGAACATGCAAGAGATATCTGGCTAATTCTCCAATATATTGAGCAATGGTTACTTTGTGCCTTCTACATTCCTCAAAATAATGTGATGCAGAGAATCTGATTCTGAGAACCATTGTAGCACCTGAAAAAGTAGCATAACCACATACCACAACAAAGAAAGCTCTAAAGGATTTTACATATAGATAAACATAGATGAACATTAAAACATGCATGTACATGTAATGTTACATTTGTAAGATTATAGAAATTGATACAAGAAGAACATGTTCACTTCATCAACAGTGTTCAAACCAATAGCAGATAGATATACATGTATAGAGAGAAAATTTAATTTAATTACTAATATAGAAGCAATGTTATTATAACTAAATACTCCCTGGAACAAAATTGAAGTACATGCAATACAAAATCATTGAATTATGACAAAAAAGTACAGTACTGCAATATTTTCTCCAAAGTATAAAACAAGTAAATTGTGACACTATGATCATGCAAAATAATGATACTGTATTTAGGGTTGTGTATCGAGCAAAAAATTGTACATTACAATATTTTATCAAGCGATATGCCACATTGGATTCCTTAACAAGCCTATCAAAAGAGTCTTATAAATTATTTCATGCATGAATTTCATAAAAACTAAGTGTTTTATAACTCTTTTTGAAGTTCTTGTCTAACTCTCATTACAAATTACATTTCAAATTCAAACTTTTAACAACTGTAAAATCAACATGTTAAAATAAAATTGTCCATGAATTTTTAAATAATTATTTAAGATGTGCTATCTCCTTAAAGGAGCTGGGACACAGATTTAAGCTCATATTTTCTGAAAATTTCTGTAAAATATCATGACAAATGTAGGTAGAGCATTTCACACCGGGATATATTAAAAGCATGCTTAAAAACTTCTTTTACCTGGAAATTAATTGAACTACGAATTCCGGAATGTGTTTGATTGACACATATCCTTGCACTTTCACAAAGTAAACTTTATCCATAACACTTAAGAAAAGTAGAAATTTTGTTGTGTATTAATGAAAAATATGAAAAATTAATCCAGAGAGTTCAGAGTAAAATTGCGAGAAAGCAAAACCAACTCACCAGTATTGTTAGTCTGTGCTCAGTGATGTGTGCAGACAAAACAAATTGAACACACTCGGTAAAACATAAACACTAACAATGACAGAGCTCGAGCCCTGTTTACAAACCCAGGTGTTTGATGTGATGTTATGAAGAATGCCATTGTTATTGAATTCTTAGAATATTCATGTAAGTTCAAAATCATTAATTTGAAGTTTTTTGAATAAAAATAGACTTTAAAATTGTAAACAAAGCACCTGTGCCCAGACCCCTTTAATGATTACATCATTATATATTGATCATTTTCAATTCAAAATTGTTAAATATAATCTTTGGTGATTGAAATTCTCAACTTTTTCACAGAATTTTAAAAAAAAAACTGCCTGTGCAATATGTATTGGAAGTGATTTTTTTATACGATACATTCTTGAATATTGGTACATATTGATACAGCCCCTAACTGTATTAGAACAATGTACTTAATGAGTTCCAAATTTAGTAGCTTTGGAAGTCTGTGTATGAGTTATCTAACCTGTATCCATGACACTAAACAGAGCCAGGGTGGCAGCACTGTGATAAAGTGGTGTAGTGGTATATACTCTGTCCTCTGGCGTTACCATACCAATCTGCAGGAACTTAGAGTAGCCAATACACTTTCCTTGATTCAATATGGCTGGCTTGGGCAAACCTTGAGAAAAAAAATAAGTTCTCTGATAGACTGCACTTCCACTGGACTTGAAACAATCCTGATAAAGGGATGAGTCGTACAACATTTCTTTTTTTAATTAGTTCTTGTAATTTAGATTAGATAGAAAGGACCAGCATGTTAAATCAATTTTGAAACAATTTAACGTAAATTAAGAGATAAGCCTAACTCTACTTTTAGTGATATCAGCAAATTGATTTAGAATACATGTACTGATAAAATCAATGCAAATAACTCTTCACATAATGTACACTTATATCGGACCTCAAAAACTGCATATAAAGAAAATGACGAATTCAAATTAAAAAAATAACATCTGATTCCAGTAAAAGGAGCAACATCCATTCATCAATTAGTATCTAAAATCAATTATCAGAATTGTGTATCCTTATTTCGTCTACATAATTACAAAGTTTCACTCAGATCAGAAAAAAAATCAAAAGCCTGAAAGGCTTCAATGACGTCGAAGAAGAAAAACAATTTCAAAAGATCATTTTGAATTTGAAGATAGCAATAAGTCAAGTGAGTGACCCAGGAGACATAATAAAAAAAATAGTTTTAAACAAAATATCACAATTACAGTGTGGGGTCTTATGTCATGGTCCGAATGGAGCAGGGTTCGAATTGACCAGACACCGTTGAACATGTTCATGCTAAATTCTTTTCAGTCAGTTGAAGAACTATGAAGGATTTCATGAATTTATATAAAATTTTTTCTAATTGCCAATGTCAAAGCGTTGTATTAGTGATTGCATCTAAACTACAACCAAGACTCTGTTCTGTTACAATTACGATCGAGTTACGATCGGGCGTGGTATACGGTATACTGGGAAATGGAGGAAATGGAGAAATACAGTAATACTGGTCAATATCATCGGCTTTTAGGATAGAGTTGGTTAGAAGATTTTATAAGTAAAGCTAAGATTTAGAAATTCAATCTTTTTAGTCTTGTAGTATTCGTGTTTATGTAATTTTGTAATTATTTTACCTCCTGTTGTGTTATGTTACACGGTTATCGTTCCGAAATGTTATTCATGTCATTCAACGCACCCTTTCTGTAGAAATTCATCCGCAACAACCATCACATTTTTCTTGTGTGAGAATAAAACATAATATTGTTGTTTTGCAATAGAATTAATTGCAGATATAGTTGATGCAATTTTATTTTCAAACTATTATTCATTTTGAGCGTTTTCAAAGAAATTGGTTTAGAGCTATTGCTATTTGCTATTGCGGATGCATTGACTGACACATTCGGTCGCGTACATATCCGGTCGCGATGTCAACTGGGCGCTTGCTAGATGACGTTCGAGCTCCAAGAGCTCGACGTCATAAAAAATTGTTGGGAAGTGTACCACTTTAACATAATATTAATGAAATGACTGCTCTCTTTCAAATAGCAATGGTGACATGAATCAAATCTAAAATTTTATAACTAAGAATCCATAGAAATAAGACTGAATTTGGTATTTTTGTTCTTGAGAAGATATTTACAAATTTTTCCTATATATCCTCTGCAAAACTTTGATTGCCCATTGTGGGGTAATGATTTGAACAAACTTGAATCTACACTACCTGAGGATGCTTCCACATAAATACAACTATTCATGATTTTGCTGTTCGTGAGTAGAAGTGATTTGAACAAATTTGAATTTACACTATGTAATGAAGATTTCACATAAGTTTGAACTTTTTTGGCCAAATAGTTCTTGAGAAGATTTTTAAAAGATACCACTGAATTTTCACTTATTCTTAATTATCTCCCCCTTGAAAGACTATGTGGCCCTTCATTTGATCAAACTTTAATCCCCTTCACCCAAGAATTCTTTGTGTCAAATTTAATTGAAATTGCCCAAATGGTTCTGGAGAAGAAGCCGAAAATGTGAAAAGTTTACAGACAGACAGACAGCTAGACAGAAGGACAGATAGACAAAATGTGATCAAAAAAGCTTACTTGAGTTTTCAGCTGAGGTGAACAAATAATGTTACCTGTTGTTCCTGATGTAAATATGTAGATACAAGGGGTGACCAAAGTGAAACTACTTCTACAGCTCCGGCAGATTTCAGCCCCAGGGGCATTAAGCAAAAGGTCATCCATTGAAATGTAACCTTCATGAACATTATTGCCAGAAGTACCATATAAATATAATGGAATGTTTAGTTCTGGACGGATCTCCTCAACAGAATGGAACAGTTCATCACCTTAAAAAAAAAAATCTCTACATTACTAATGAGATTCCATATAAAAAAAAATTCATATTATTAAGCAGCTGATAATCCTAGCATTAATCTGCAAGTCAGCTTCTATAGTACATGTAATACATGTATATACCGTTATAGATTTTTAAGGTATAGTTAAAATGGTTGGCTTTTTCCTGCTCAATATCAACCAAATTAGCCACCTCAAAAGTCCATAATTAATTTATTATTGTCTAGAATTTGGATAAATGGACTTGTATAATACAGTTTATCCAACATTTCATGAAATTTTAACTATCGATCAGGCCAATTTTAATGTTTGCTTGCCCTCTCCCGAATCAGGATTAAAAAAAATTGGGTTGGTAGGTATACATGTAAGGTGGAAAATTTTTCTTATTTAAAAACACCTGCAAATGTGAAATTTAAATACTTATTAATGGAATGAGAAAACTGGAATTAATAAAAAATAATCATTTCCTGGGGGTTAAAAAAAAGTTTTGAGTTAAGGGCCGTTTTCAGTCAGTCAGTCGGGAGAGGGCAAACAAACTTTTTTTTTTAAAGATGGTCTCAGTGTAATAATTATGGAGACAGAACATATATATACTCTAGTATCTTTACTGTGCAAAAAAGGTTTCAAGTGCTGAAAAATTTACTGTGCAACAAAAGTTCAGGTTCTGAATATCCAGAGGGTAAGAGCAATGATATTAACCTGTTCCAATAATTAGTGCTTTTGCTTTACTGACTGTGATTGAGTGTAGAAGAGGCTTTCCTTTGTTGTTATAATTTATGAATGCCACAGCTAAACCAACTTTCTGAAGCCCTGAAATGTGAAAAAATGATCATAAATACATGTAGTATAAATAAACTGTCAAAATGAATTACCAATAGCTAGAATCTACTGCCAGCAATGAGAGTGAAATACCAGAACTCCTTTGCATGACTCTGTAGTGAAGTCATTTCTTAAAAACCCTATTTAAGGATTCATCCCTAAGCCAGGATTAGTAACTACTGAAATTATCATTTATTTGAATAAGTCTTAAAATGAAGCTTGAAATTAAATTTTTTTCATGTAAAAATTTTCTTTTCATGATCCAAGATAGTTTGAAGTTTTTGAAACAAAAGGGACAATTCAAAGACATTTTAAATTTTTTTCAAATTTCCTTTAATCTGGCAGGAAAATAAATTGAAACTAATATGATATCTTGCAATGATACCACATTGTATCATAAAAGATTTGCATTTAATAGAATTAAAATTAAAAATATCAAAAACATGCATTTTTAAGATGCCCTGATACCCGTACTTATAGTTTTTCATCCTGAAATATATTTGCAGAATGGTTTTTAAAATGCATTTTTTTTAACATTCCTTAAAAATCAAAATATTTTACATTTTGGTTTTTTCTTTTTCTTATGAATAAATGATAAAGTTGTCAAGACCATTGCATGGGTACACTCACATTACTTTGGGAATTCAGTCACATTTTCATGTGCATTTTCAGTTACTTACATAACTGCTGATTTTTAAAAATTATGGGAAGAAAAACATTAACCCTCTTACCCAAAAAATGTTGCATTTACATGTCAAGTGGACTGTGGCAAGTATTGGCTGTGGCATAGAAAACATGGTGGGATACCATTTCAACAGGGGAAACCATTTTGTACATCATGTGTACGTAATAATCATACCAGATTTACCACAGATAATCAGCATTTTGAAAAAAAAAAAATCATATATAGTTCCACGCAAAACTCTGATGCCCTATTGTGGCCCCTATACTTTCAGGTGAAATGACATGACCAGTCCCAACCAGTGCCTTTTTTTTTTTTTAAATTACATCATGAATTATGATATACTACAATTTATTCGGACTGATAGAATTTGCTTCAGACGGTAGAACACATTAAGTCGTCAGTCAAAATGATTGATAGTAATATCTGGTTTTTGGAAACTCTGACCCTACCTCTGAGTCCATGATTTAAACACTTTACAATCTAAATTAGGGAAGCTTTCACATAAGTTTCATCTTTTCTAGACTTTTCTTATATATATGTATTTCAATGTAAAAAAATTTTCTTAGATATTTCAATGTAAAATTTTGATCCCCATCTTGCCCCCAAGAGGTAGAATCTACACTTCCCCAGAAAGCTTTTAAATAAGTTTCATCTTTTCTGACCCAATGGTTCTTGAGAAAAAGATTTTTCTTGCATACATTGCAATGTAAACTTTCATCCTTTAATGTGGCCCCACCCTAAACCCATGGGTCAGGATTTGAAAAATTGAGAACTTCTTCAGGAAGCTTCCATATAACTTTCACCTTTCCGAACCTAGCATTTTTTGAAAAAAAAAAATGTCATATATTAATGTAAAAATTTCATCCCCTATTGTGGCCCCATTCGGCAAACCTCGGCTGATTCCGTCACCTTCATGATGAGGTACGAATCGGCTGAGGTGTGCCGAGTGATTGTGGCCCCACACTATCGCAGAGGATCATGATTTGAACAATTTAGAATCTATGATTCTTCAGGAAGCTTCTACATAAGCTTCATCTTTTCTGGTTCACATAAGCTTCATCTTTTCTGGTTCGTGGTTCTTGAGAATCTCGATTTTTCCTATATATTTCAATGTAAAACTTTCATCCCCTATGTGGCCTCACCCTAGTCCCAGAGGTAATGATTTACATAATTTACAATCTACATAACCTCAAGAAGCTTTTGCATAACTTTTGTCTTTTCCAGTCCAGTTATTTTTGAGAAAATTTTTAAAGATTTTTCTCTATACATTTCAATGTAAAATTTTGATTCCCTACTGTGGCCCCATCCTACCCCCAGGGGTCATGATTTGAAAAATTTACAATCTACACTACCTCAGGAAGCTTCCACATACGTTTCATTTTTTCTGGCTTAGTATTTCTTGAGATGAAGATTTTTTAATGACCCCACCCTATTTTTGCCTTTTCTTGATTATCTCCTCTTGGAATGGGGTTTGGCTTTTTATTTGAAAAATTTAGAATCCCCTTTACCCAGGGATGCTCTATGCCAATTTAAGTTTTGTGAAAATCCACCCATTGGTTCTTAAGAAGTCAATAAAGTTTACAGACGGATGCCAGACAATGGATGATAAAAAAAAATTCTTCAGAGTTTTCAGCTCAGGTGAGCTAAAAATGAAACTGATCTGATCAGTAATTATAACTGATTGCGAACTGTATCTCAGTTAAAGTATACATGGGTAAAAAAAATCTATTTTCCTAGCTGTTTTGATGAAAATATTTTACATAAAGAATTACATTACATTAGGAATTAAATAAACAAACATGTGATGGGTTTTGGTGTTTAGTAAATAAAAAATAATTATAAAATAATTCAGAATATTACTATATTCAACAAAATGCTAATTGTCTTATTTTATTTTCTTGGCCAAGTGGATTTAGGAGTTGGGAGAGTGAAATTTCAGACAGCGCTTTCCCATGGTCAAGCAGTTTTAAAAAAAAATTCTAGACCCCTGTAACTTGTTCCAAAAACTTTAACCTGGTCTCTCATTCAGGGTATGTAGGTCATATCCTGCATCTGGAGTAAGTCAGGTAAAGTATATCAATCCTGTGATGCATGAACCATGCAAGTTTGGTCCAGTAGGGCTTATAGTTACTTGGGAATGAGAACTGCTCCTAAAACTTTCACTGGGACGCCAACACCAACATTGGAAGTATAGCATATATATTCATAAGCTTGTCTCAATTTCATCCTGGTGAGTTAAAAATCAGGATATTCTTGGAGAACCATGCAGTTTCCTATGCATACACTAAATCACCAATTCATAATAAATTACTCATTTTTTTCATCAAAGACTTTGGGAAAAATTTGGTCACTTGACGGAAGACTACTGGATGCAGATTTAGTCACTGTTTTAAATATAAATTGGTCGGCTTGACCAACCGCAAATTTCAGCAATTCAGCATCAGTAAGTTATTTTAATTACCTAAAAATGTCCAAGCAAATGCTGGGGAATTCTGACAAACTAAGGCAACTGTCTCTCCAATCTGAAAATTCCACTCATACGCAATATTGGCCACTTTTTTGGCTTGTTCATTTATGAACTCATAGGTATACTCTCTGTCCTCAAATATGATCATGGGTTTCTTGGGGAATTTCTCAACACTATCTTCAAACATGTCAATTATATATCTCCCCTTTGCTACATCTTGTGCCAATCTCTGTCCAATCCCTTTTCCATACTTCATGTACTGCAGGTCATACTTAAGCCATGGAAACATTGTCTGCCATGCTGCCACAGACACACCCGCAACCCCTCCGAGGCCCATCAAAATTTTATCCCTGGTACTTGGCATTTTTTCTCAATTTCGTTTTGTGTTGCTGCAAAAGAGGATATATAGAGTTACTTTCAGACAAGAGTTCAGAAATTCTTATAATCATATGAATGAACATTTAAATTACTTCAGACTTTTCAAATGATTAAAATTCAAGCAACCTCTTAATTTCAGGTATTTCTGTGCAAATTCCGAAATATGAAGTCAAAAAAATGTACTCTCCAGCTGCTCTACCCTGAAATAATAATAAGCATGTTAACTTTCTGAAAAACAATTCAACTTCATCAAACACTGGCAAGTGTAGTGCAGTATGTTCAGTGTGTTGTACGATCACTGAATTTTAAACATTTGCTAATAGATAAAATATCTGTGGTTTAATGATAAGGTCAATTTGGAGAACGTTCTACCTTTAAACACGATGTCTCTGATTAAAAATATTGTGTATTTGTTTGCTAATAACAGCTTAACTCAGCACAGTATGTCCGTTACAGTCGAACTCTTTAAGTTCTCTTTGACATGATTCTTAAAAAATACATACTTACCTTTGTTTTAATGGATCAGTATGTAGAAACTACACATCTCACTAATGATGTCAAGCTGACAATCAGACGACAGATAGGAATTTGCAGACAGCAGGGTGAGCAAATGTGGGTTAGTTCAAAGTTTATTGTAACATCGATCCCGATCACAAAACAAAGTTTATGATCCGTTTTTGTTTTTTTTGTTTTTTTGTTTTTTTGTTTTTTTGTTTTTTTTTTTTTTGTTTGTTTTTTTTTGTTTTTTTTACGATCATCACACAAATAAAAATTATAATTTAAAGAGATGGTTTTAATCATTGAGAAACAACTACAACAATAAATAAATAGATAAATAAATAAATAAATAAATAAAAAGATAAATAAATAATTAAATAAATAAATAAATATTCTACTACTGTATGTGCTATGAAACAATCAAATGTTCAAATTGACTTTTTCTCCTACAATCGTGAAGTGAAACAGGGAGACAATTAGAGTCCGACACTTTTTAGCATATTTATTGATGATTTTACAAAAATATTTAGCTTTCTCAAAAACATGCCCTGTTAAACTGAACAACATTCACATAAACAGCTTATTTTTTTTGTAGACGATTTATTTCTTATATCAGAATCAGCAGATGGGCTGTTGTGACTGGAAGATAGAAGTTAATCCACACAGAACTAATGCTATGGTATTTTCCATAGCAAGAATCTTGAAAACAATGAGGTATAAAGAAGATATTGATTTTATTGACGAATATAAATATGTGGGTGTTGTCCCAAAAATAATGGTAAATTGAAAAATGCATGTGAGAATTTAGCAGGTAGAGCAAGGAAGGTATAATTTACAATCAAATCAAAACTATCAAACAAACTCAGTCACTCGGGAAAGCTTCAATTTAAGATATACGAATCATGCATTATACCAATTTTGACTTATGCTTCGGAAACTTGAGTAAGTGATTTTAAACATAAATGACAAAAGACTTTGACAAAACTCCATCTGAAAAAAAAATCAACTTGAATTTTCATCTTTAAAGACATTTTAGGGGTTCATAATAAAGCTTCTAATTTCTCCTCCCATTGATTTCAGAATATATAAATTATTATATAGATATTATTACAGATTACAGAAATTTGTTTCAAATCAGGAGAACTGAAACTTGCTTTTACAACATGCATGCATATTCAGAAGATGAAAAACTTGCAGGAAATGGAAAAACTTGTTGGCAAAATTGTATACGAAGAATAATTGATGACGTTATTGGTTCAAATACAGTATCTTTTTACCATCTTTATATGATTTTGAAAATAATTTGAAAAGTATTTTGAGAATATAGTTTTCAGAGACATTCAAAATATATCAGAGAAAAGGGTAATGGAAAATTGTCAATCTACCGACAGACAATTATATGTAATAAGTAAAGTTCACATAACACATCGCGTACTTAGTTTTATATAATTTATATACATGCATGTATATACACTACATAAGCATTAGCTCGATACCCCTCCTACTTATTTTCTGATAAGCGTCTCTACCTGTTAATTTTGTTCGGAAATTTCATTCAAAGGCCAACTGTAGCTTCTTCCACTGACATAAAGATTTTTTTTCATTCGTGGTCTATGGTCATGATTTGAATTTTCTTCAAGTTAGCTGGGTATACTTTTTGAGTTGTCGTTCTTTGTATAAATCTTGCAATATTTAATCTTAGATTTTGGTCGATTGTCGCATTTCAATTTTAAACATGCTACTTAATATTTCTAACTTTAAAAGATAGAAACATTATTGAAATGTATATATACTGAGGCAAAAACTATTAATATTTTGACTTTCCGATTATGAAAATTACGATCTTTCCGACCGATCAATCGATTTACCGGTTAATCATTGTCCATGCGCGGATCTAAAGGGGGGGGGGGGTCGGGTGGGGGGATGGCTGGAATTTTCAGAGTTATTAAATGTATATACTGAATCATCAAATAAAAAATGACTTTGAACCCCCCCTTCCACCCCTGAAAACGTAGACCACACTATCACCACCACGAAATAATAGGGGTTTTTTTCCCACGTTTGGGTAAGGACTACACCTTTTTTTTTTGCTTGTCAAGAATTTTTTATGGGTTTGATACGTTTTTTGGGGAAAGTTTTTTTTTGTTTTTTGTTTTTTTTTTTTTTTTTGTTTGTTTGTTTGTTTCTTTTTTTTGTTTTTGTTTGTTTTTTTTTTTTTTTTGCTTACAGTCAAGAAATTTCTGGGTTGGAAATTTTTGGAATGGGGCGGACACCCCCCCCCCCCCTTGGAAAAAATCCCTGGATCTGCGCCTGTGGCCATCTTTAGTATTTATAACATTTTACATGCACTGGGCCAACTAAACTAATGTTTGTTTGCCCTCTCCCGACTCAGTATGAAAAAATTGGGTTGGTAGGTACATGTAGGTGGGTAAATTTTTTCCCCAAGAAAATCTCAACATCAAAGCTAAATTTTTTTTAAAATCTATCTTCCAGAATGCAATAAAAATTGTTCCCTGGAAGTAAAAAAAAAATGAGTCGGGCATTTTTTTAGCCAGTCGGTCGGTAGAGGCCAACCAAATAATTTTTTTTAAGATGGCCCTACTACAACAGAAGTCTGCACCCCCTTTAAATTCATGTACAACAGATGTCTTTTGGAACCCCATCATATCCCCCCCCCCCGATAATCATATGGTCGAGGATTGGGATTTTTGGGAAAATGGCCTGTTACACATACCTTTAGCTTTTTCATCAATGTTGAATTTGGTCATTATTGTGCAATAAAGGAAGATTTCTTTATTTGTAAGATTACTAGTTTATGATTTAAATATAAACTATTACAATAGCACAGTTAATTCTTAACCTATAAGAATAACAAGCAAAACCAAAAGCAGATTTAAAGCACAGTTTTCCATTCAATTTTACATAACCGGATTTTTTCTTATTAATGTGAAAACTATTTTCTTCCGTTTAACATCGTCGCAATATGACACTTCCGAACTGGCAATTGAAATCTTTGATTGAAATACTTTTGGCCCACTGTTCGTTATCTTTCTGCTTCTTTGGAATGGCTGCCCATATTGATGGGTATAAGTGTGAGCATTAATACTTCAATCATTTTGAATTTTGGGTAATGATATCTTATATTCTTGAGGAAACGAAAGAAAATAACTTTCAGTAATGATAACCGACCAGACTCTTTATTATGGTAATTGCTATTCAGCCTTAAAAATCAAACAAATTAAGAAAATGTTCCCAAAATTTACCAACACAAAACAATTTCGTGGGTGAGGATGAAGAGAAGCATAAATTTCACAATTGATATTTAATAAACATGGTCTAAATTTAGCAAAATATCGCTCTGCAAAATTAAACGTTGAAAGTATAGTGTCCCTTCCCTTCCACACACACTTTTAAAAATAAGGATCCGCGTGGAGCGGATCGATGTTGTCCTCTCTCACCCACCTATAGCCACCTCATTAAGGGGATTCGACTGATATTCAGTGTTTAAGGGGAGAAGAGCCCTTGAGGATATTCTTGCCAGGGATTTTTTATTTTTAGGTTTTTAAAGAAATACATTCAATCACAGGATGGTAAAGCCCTAACATTTTTCTCAGTATAACTTATTTGAGATGTACGAACGAGATGTGTATGCACTCCATACTGATAAATAGACCAAGGTTCTACAAATCGGGATAGCTAGAGGTTTAAAAGAGTATCAAGTATCGACAATGTTCAGTATTAAACAGATAAACATTAAACAATAGCGAATACAGTTTAATATAACCTACTTTTAATACCTTTTTGAATACAATCATTGTTACAGGCAAGCAAATTGACGTCAGTCCAAAATATTTGGGGCGAACTATCGAAGATTGACGTCAGTCCATATATATTTTAGACAAAATGTCGATAAAAAGAAAGATTTGAAGTTTCATAATTGGTTTTTATGTAATAAGTGGACAATATGTTAACTGATGACATCTTGGTCTACTAATTTCTATCTTTGTCAACACAGAGCGCGAAGCCCTGTGACAAAAATAAGTTAAGAAGAGTTCCATATCTACACTTATTAATTGTTTTTAAGAAATGGACTGCTATGGCTGAAAAACAGTAATTGCCTCATAAAGTACATATAATCTTTAAAAGAAACATTCAGAACTGTGCATATTGTCTTGTAGGTTTCTCATCTTGCATGGACATACCATATCGGTATCAAAAAAAAAAAAAGTTGGAATCAATTGTTACAATTAATTTGAAAGCGCGCTATTCAATTTATATGCACTCTCTGCGTGAGTTGTAGCAGTGTAAATTACAAAAATAATCAGTCGGTACCTAATTGTAAAGTTCAATATTTAAAAAAAAAAGTGGACTTAGCGAGTTTTTGCTTGCAAAATTTGGAGAATCACAGAAATTATGTACAGAATTATTTTCAAGCTAAATGAGGGCTATGGGGGAATCTCGTCCAGTCCACAACATTCATCTTTGGATTTGCACTGTTCTTCAAGAATGAAAATCTCTTTACCCCCAACAATGTAAATCTACAGAATGATACCAAACTTAGATCAAATTATAAATGTGGTAATTTTATGGAAGTTCACAAATTCCAACGTAAACCTTTGGACACATGCCGTGGTCCTACTAAGCCCAAAATTCTTGTTTTAAACAATCTTGCACATTGATTTAAAGGTTTTCCACCTGAATATAATAAGATGAGTAAAACACTACGACTTCGAAAGTTTACCAAGTCAGACTAGATCGCGAGGTTTTAACCTATCGTATTAACTCGCTCTCTCTCTCTCCTTATTGCCAAGTGAAAATTTAATCTTGATTTCACAACGATGTGTAAATACTTCCAAAATATTTTCCAATATATTTAAAAAGGAGCTTATATATAGTCTTTCATTTGATAAAAAGAAATCCCCGGGCCATCCACCCACCCCCAGCCTTGACATTTAATGTCCCTGGTATTTATAGCTCTTTACCTTCAGTATATAATTGATTCTTCTTATAGTAACTAAACAGCCTTATATACGTAGATCATTGTAAAAAAAAAATGGGCTTCTTGGAGATTAGTTTTAAGCTGAATGCAATCGTTGT